GTATACATTGCATGCCTTCTGCATTTTTTTCTTCCTGTGAGAACCGCAAGGGGCAGGCTGGGTGGAGAATAACTGGCTCAGAACCATCTAGAGAACTTCCACAGCTGAAAGACTTGAAGTCAACCCAATACCCAAAATTTTATGCTCCACTAGCTTATTACAATGGATAGATTTGAAGTGAGAACATACTGTAGGAGATTACCAGGCTAAACCTGAGGGAGGGGTCAAATGCATCATCAGTCTTGAATTCCTTCTCGCCCACAAGATATTTAAGTCCCACCCACCTTGAATTCCATTGATTCTTATCTACCGCCAATTTGCTTTGACTGCTAGTAGTTCAGATTCTAAATAAATAAATATTAAATAAATTACAGCCACGGTTGGGTTATGCTATAAATTAGCAGAGCAGAAATGAGAAATAATTGAGAACTCTCAAAAGACATGGGAAATAACACTTTGTGTGCGTATGTTTCCAGCACATTTAAAAACTCAACAAAAACACAAGTATTGCAGTTCTGGGACTTTTAACGGAAGCCTCCAAAAACAAGATAAGCCAAGCTGTAGAGCCCCTTCTGCTTTATGGTCTATTAACTGAAAAATAACACCTCAGATTTCACAATATGGCAAATGTTAGGGGCAGATAATAGAAGAAAACTGCAGTGCTGTTTGTTGCCTATGAAATCTCCTTAGACATTTTTTGGAAAAACAGTGCTGGACTCACTAGTTTATTGCTTCAGTGGAGTTCTTCTTATAATATTTGTATTGTTACAAATTTTGTAGCACTATATAGATCAGGGGTCTCCAACCTTGGCAACTTTAAACCTGGAGGACTTCAACTCCCAGAATTCCCCAGCCAGGGAGTTGAAGTCCTCCAGGCTTATAGTTGCCAAGGTTGGAGACCCCTGATATAGATTGCTGTTGTTGTTTTCTTTTATAAAATCCAGCTGCTGCTTTTAACTGAGAACAATAAATACATTGCTTAATTGCATCTGCAATGCTTAGGTTCTTACCTTGGATTAATGTTGTGGAATAATGAAATTCACTGGCAAGGAACCACATAAGATGTGAAGGATAAATCTTGGGAAATGGTGTGTTTTGTCAACACTGAGGGAGATTCAATGGGAATCTGCAGTTTCCGTGTGAACAACAGGACTGTTTTGAAACATTGGGTTTTTTTCCCTTTTCCTTTTTTTATTTTATTTTTTATTATTTTTTATTCGTTTTTTTATTTTTTATTAGTTTTATCAGTGGTGAAATCCAATTTTTTTTAAACTACCGGTTCTGTGGACATGACTTGGTGAGCATGGTGTGGCTTGGTGACGTGGCATGGGAAGGATACTGCAAAATCTCCATTCCCACCCCACTCCAGGGGAAGGATATTGCAAAATCCCCATTCCCACTCTACTCCAGGGGAAGGATATTGCAAAATCCCCATTCCCACCCCACTCCAGGGGAAGGATATTGCAAAATCTCCATTCCCACCCTACTCCAGGGGAAGGATACTGCAAAATCGGCATTCCCTCCCCACTCCTGGGGGAAGGATATTGCAAAATCTCCATTCCCACCCCACTCCAAGGGAAAGATACTGCAAAATCCCCATTCCCTCCCCGCTCCTGGGGAAGGATATTGCAAAATCTCCATTCCCACCCCCCTCTGGGGCCAGACAGAGGTATTTGTCAGTTCTCCAAACTACTCAAAATTTCTGCTACCGGTTCTCCAGACCCTGTCAGAATCTGTTGGATTTCACCCCTGCTTTTTATATTTAAAAAGTGTGAGAGAAAAATATATAAAATCAAGATGTATGTAATGTATATATTACATTAGCCTGAAATTCTCTAGGGACCTCTAGTGGCTTAATTCCAGAAAACAATATTATGATAAAATATATTTAATAATGAAAAGTTTTATTTTTAATTAGTTGTAGAATACCATAGAAGCAAAATTCAAGTTGCATACTAAGAAATCAGGCTATTAACATTCATTTCAAAAAGGAGGTGGCATTAGAAAATCCATTTCACAGAGATATTAGTTTGAGTGAAATCCCAAACGGGATCTCTTAAATATCTTCCTGCTTCAGACATTAGGATAAATATGCTAAGGAAAAATGTCTTCACAAGTTTGCTTCCAAAAATGTATATAAGCACCAGATATAAAAAGAAAAAAACCCATCATCCATAAACTTTAACACATATCCCCAATCTTATAACAAATTTATTTTTAGAAACAACTATTCTAAATGATTGAATTGATAGATTACACTAAGCAAGCATCGATTTACTTGGTTTTGAGCTAATACATTCTATGAATGAACCAATTGCATTTATACTTCATAAACCATTGCTAAATAAATTATGGCTTAACAAAATGTGATATATCCCCCTTCTTACTCAGCCACCCTGAGTCTCCGGAGAAAGGCAGCATATAAATTGAACTAATAAAATAAAAAATAAATAAAATAAACGTAGGCTTTTTTGTGGATAATTTTATTTTCTAAATCTGATATTGTGGCCAAGGTATCTCTTTTGAAATGTTGTGTTTATTCTGTGGTTAATACATATCTTAATAAATTGTTGTATGTTTGTTTAGGTTTTCTGGGATTGTGCCTAATTGAAATACCTGCAATTATCCATTTTATCATTTGTTTTTAATTGGTTCTGTTTCTGTGACATGCATAGCAATAGTTTAAAGGCCATCAAGTTTGATCCCATGCTTATTTCAAGATGTGCTAAAGCATTTTGAACAGGTGGCTCTCCAGCCTCGGTTGAAAGATCTCCATTGAACAGGAACCTGAATTAACTTCTCCCTAAATTCAACCCCACTACTTCTGCTCCTGTCCTTTGGGGCAGTGGTGGGATTCAAAAATTTTTACTACCGGTTCTGTGGACGTGGCTTGGTAGGTGTGGCATGGCTTGGTGGGCGTGGCAGGGGAAGGATACTGTAAAATCTCCATTCCCTTCCCACTCCAGGGGAAGGTTACTGCAAAATCCCCATTTCCTCCCATCAGCTGGGACTCGGGAGGCAGAGAATAGATGGGGGCGGGGCCAGTCAGAGGTGGTATTTACCGGTTCTCCAGAACTGGTCAGAATCTGCTGAAACCCACCTCTGCTTTGGGGCAACAGAGACCCAGAGAACCCCTTTCTTCATTTCGCAGCCCTTTAAATAGCTGAAGACTGCTATCACCTCTCCCTCAATCTTTTCCTCTGTCCAGTTCTTGGACAGAGGACTTGGTTTCCAAACCCATTTTGAACGATGCCATTTTTGAACTATGGTGCCCAGAACTGGGCACATATTCCAAGTGAGAACAGACCAAGGCAGGCTGGGACAATGACTTCTGGAAATTTAAGACACTGCAAATTTAATCATCCCATCCTAAAATAAAATTTGAGCATCAAAGAATTGAGGCCTTTGAACTATGGTGTTGGAGAAGACTCCTGCGAGTCCCTTGGACTGCAAGGCAATCCAACTGGTCAGTCCTAGAGGAGATCAACCCTGACTGCTCTTTAGAAGGCCAGATCCTGATGAGGAAACTCAAATACTTTGGCCACCTAATGAGAAGGAAGGACTCACTGGAGAAGAGCCTAATGCTAGGACAGATTGAGGGCAAAAGAAGAAAGGGACGACAGAGAACGAGGTGGTTGGATGGAGTCACTGAAGCAGTAGGTGTGAACTTAAATGGACTTCAGAGGATAGTAGAGGACAGGAAGGCCTGGAGGAACGTTGTCCATGGGGTTGCAATGCGTCGGACACGACTTCGCAACTAACAACAAAAATAAAATTTCTCTTTTGGTGATTTTTCTCCGAATGGATACATCTAGGCTTTTCTTTACAGTCATTTGTCTAAAATGCTTAAGCAGGGAGTTGGACTAGAAGACCTCAAAGGTCCCTTCCAACTCTGTTATTTTTTTTTTGTATATATTTTTTTATTTTTTAAGACAAACAAACATTTAATACATCAATCCTCCCTTCCCTGTGACATCTCGGTGCTATCTTCTAAGCTTCTTCTCCATCTTCCATAAGTTTCTTCTATCTTCATCCAAACCATTCTAACAATTCATTACTAAAATGGTGTTATAATCATCATTTATACATAGTTACAATATTAGTCATTTATATCTCTTTTCCAACCAGCTGTAAAAATGATTCCATATCTTAAAATATTCTGACTCTTCCTTATCTTAATCATCAAAGTTAATCTATTCATTTCTGCACAGTCTAAATTTTTTCAACTCTGTTGTTCTTTTGGTTTCTCATCCAAGAACCAACTTAAGCTTTTCAATTCATTCCTCTCTATAGAGCCCTCCACATGCATAAGAACTACCTATTCATAATTCATATCCCATTTAATAAACTCTGTAAATAGGAATCGCAGCAAGATCATCTCTATGATTACGAATAACGGATGCACAAAGACCCACCAGGTTCCCCAGGCCCCGCCCCGTTCCATGATTTGCTCCTCCCCTTTTAGTTCAAACTCAATCAAGCGCCCCTGTTATTTTAAGAGAAAGTCTTTTAAGAGATAAGAATGATTTGCACTCTTTACACTTCCGGTTTCCAATAGACCCTCTCCCCCCCCAGAGTAGGAGATTAAAGGAAAATAAACGGAAAAATGCTCCGCCAGTCGGAAGAAGTAGGCATTATTGCACCTTCCTGAATTTTGGAATCGATACTCTTTCGATGTGGGACGAGACTCGTTCATGTGCTTGTTTTCCCCATGAAGTTTAAACCAGAAGTAGTATGCTGGGGTTTGCTCTATCTTTAACTCTTTGCTCTCACTTCCGGTCTAAAACTGAACTACGGTACCTTTTCTCTTTGCAATGCGGTCGAGAAAGATCCGGCTAAGAGCGTCGCAGTTTTATCCCGCCCCCTTCCTCCCCCGCCCCCCCGGGGAAGCCAACCGACCAATCCTGATCACATTTTACCGGAAGCTTAAGCGTTTGAGCCACTCTAGCCTCTTTCTTTATTATAGAAACTCTACCTAGAGTTGTTTCTCTATGGTTTCGTGTGCGGTGGATGCTGGCCTGCGGGAGGAATAATGGCGGGGCGGGCCTAGCCGTGCGGTGGTAACTGCGAGCCTTGGGTCGAGCTACATGGTTGGATCTTCGTATGTGCTTCAGAAGCCGGAAGCTGCTCCATTTAAGTCAGTCGTTACAGCAGGTAGGTTTAATTATAATACAAATGTTGTGATGGGGATTTTTTTTTTAAACGTGTTACGGAGCTTTCAAGCAATCCTAGGTAGGCAGAATCTATTGACACGACAGCCCTGTAAGGTAGATCAGCAGCCCTATTCCCCCCCCAATCCCCTTCTTGCAAAAGGAGAAGGGCTTTGAGCGAGGGAGGAAGCTCTTTCTCAGGCTCAACGTACAATCCGGAGTAACAATATTGATGTGCCTTACAGGACGTGTCTGGGGGGGGTCAGTCTCCAGTTGAGCTTGAAAAAAAATTGAGGCTGGTCAATGCTGGGATGGGAGACCACCAGGAAATCCCAAGGCTGGAGAATAGACTGGGGATTTAAAGGTGATATTGGCAGACTGTGGATGTTCTCCTGCCTAGGAAACTACATGAATCTGTCTTTTAAGTTTTCAAGAGTCCATCAAAGTGATCTTTTTGGAGACTGGGTTAATTCAGAGGGGATTAAAGGAGTTAGTCTAATCATGTGGATCTGAAGCTTTTCCCTTACAATGGTATCCTACAGATTAGATGAGATGAGATGAGACGAGAGGAGTTGAGTTGTTGAGTTGAGTTGTTGACTTGAGTTGAGTTGAGTTATTGGCCAAGTGTGATTGGACACACAAGGAATTTGTCTTCAGTGTATATGCTCTCAGTGTACATAAGGAGAATAAAATACATTCATCAAGAATAAAAAGATACAACAACACTTAGTGATAGTTAAGGTTACTAATAAGCTATCAAATCGTACAAATAAAAACAATATAAATTGAAAGCTACAAGCAACATGGTTATAGTAATAAGTGGGAAGAGATAGATACTAGTAAGGAAGAGAAGAATAATAGTAATTCAGTCTTAGTAAATTACTTGACAGTGTTCTGGGACTTAGTTGTTAAGCAGAGTAATGGCATTTGGGGGTGGGGGGGAAACATGAATCTGTCTAAGTTTTCAAGATTCCATCAAAATGATCTTTTGTGAGACTGAATTCAGAGGGGATTAAAGGAGTTAGTCTAATCATGTGGATCTGAAGCTTTTCACTTACAGTGGTATCCATACAGGTGAGATTAGAGCAATGTTTTCCTCCTCCTCCTGGGGCACTTCCAGGTGTGTGGACTTCAACCCCCACAATTCCTTTTAACTGAATGAAAATCCTGGGAGTTGAAGTCCCATCTCTTGGGGAAAAGTTGGGGACCGCTGGATTAGAATCAGGAACTTGGAGGCTGTTTTGTGATTATGTTTCCACCCCAGTTCAAATGATGCATCAGATTGGGGTGTTTAAAAATAGTTGCTGGATAGATTTGTGTTGTGATTGTAATAATTGCAACTATTGCAATCACAATACAAATCTATCCAGAACGGGACACGATGGCTTAGCAGTTAAAGATGCCGAGCTTGTTAGCTGAAGCTGACAGTTCGGCTTCGAGACCCGAGAGCCACACAACAGGGCTTCTGCCCACCTAGCAGTTGGAAAGCTTGCAAATGCAAGTAGATAAATAGGTACCACTTTGGTGGGAAAGTTACAGGTTCTGGGCGCCTTTGGCGTATAGGCATGGTGGCCATGTGACCACAAAAAATGTCTTCAGACAACGGTTGCTTCCTCAGCCAAGAAATGGAGATGAGCACCCTACCCTAGTGCCCGACACAAGTGGGCAGGGAAACCTTTATCTTTAACTAAGATTGATTCAATTCTTTGAAATTAAAGTGGTCTGTTTATGATGCATGTATTTGGTACAAGGAGCTAATTGTAGTCTTAACTTAATTACAGTAATATCAATGTTACAATCGATGTCATGTTTTATTAGTATAGAAGCAAAGATGAATTATATTGTGTTTGGTAGCCTTCCAACAACAGATCTTTAACTTGATAATAGAAACTTGTCGATTCAGTTATTTGCTGCCTTGGTAATAAGATGAGTAGGGAAATGCCTAAATGAATGATAGGTAAGTATTGAAGGAAGTCATCTGATATTGCATAAGTGTATGGAGCTTCTTTAGGATTGAAGAGCATCAAGAAATCCTAAACATAATACATTTCCTTTACAACAGATATGTGAACATGCTTATTCTACATTTTAAAAAATAAACTAGTGATAGTTTATTAAATTTGTTTGCCGCCCATCTCACCTAAAGACAAGCATAATGATGCCTCATTGCCGGTTGGCTGCTAAAACATGCTTTTCTTAAAAGGAAATTGTTTCACTAGCACACTGTGTCTAGCAGCTCTAACTACGGAACAGAATAAAAGCCTCTGATAGCAAATAGTTTTTTTTTAAAAAAAAAGTTTATTTGATTTATATGCCGCCCTTCTCCGGAGACTCAGGGCAGCTTACAATGCGTTAAGCAATAGCCTTCATACTTTTGTATATTTATACAAAGTCAGCTTATTGCCTCCACAATCTGGGTCCTCATTTTACCTACCTTAGAAAGGATGCAAGGCTGAGTCAACCTTGAGCCTGCTGAGATTTGAGCTTGCAGTAATCGCAGGCAGCTGATGTTAATAACAGTGCTTTAGTCTGCTGCACACCAGTAGACTATAGTTGTCCATATTGTGTTTTAAGCATGCACTGTTTGCACAGATGCAAAAAGCAAAGGAAGGTTACTATGAGATTTATATGCAGATTTTACTTCGTAGCCATGGAATTCTGAAAAGTAGTTTTTAACATAATTTTATTGCATTTAAAGGGGGTCACAGTGGCTCACGTGGTAAGACGCTAGGCCTGTGCACCGTTGAGGTTGGCAGCTCAGCGGCTCAATTCCCTTGAGCGAATAAACCGCGTAGGGACAAGAAAGGAGCCTCCCAGATTGCCTATCGGCATTCAGGTGTCCTGCGGGTGAAGATAACACTGCCCAAAAAAATTCCTTTCACAGAGACAGTCAACCACCTCTGTGATCCCTGGCTAACATGTGCCATACACTAAATAAGTAAATAAATGGCATTTAAATCTCACCTACCCTCTGTTCATCCAAGATAGTGTAGACAAGGTTTTCCTTAATTTTATTTAGTAACTATCATGAATGGCTTGTGAGAGAAAGTAATAACCTGAAAGCTATCAGAGACATGATACAGGAAGAGCAAAAACTGAATGAACCCAATACATTTGCAATTCTGATAGAAGCTTTGATGTAAGAATAAATAGAAGTTAAGCCGGAATTTTTCTTACTGGGCATGACAGATGGCAAATATGACAAAAGTGTAACCTATTTAATATTGCATATACTTACCACGACAAAACTAGCATTTGCTCAAAAGTGGAAGTGTAAAGAAATACCCTCAAAAGAAGAGGTAAATACACAAAATTTACAGCTATGCAGAGAAGGACAAACTTACGTTAGAACTCAAAGACAAAAGTGAATCAAAATACTATGAAGTCTGGAATAAATTTTATAATTGGTTAGATAAGAGGAAGAATGCCAAAAACAAGGGATAACGAATGTCTGGAAATGTATATATCAATGTATATTAATATATCAATGTATATTTAACTTGTGAATGTAATATTGGTTTATTAAATGCATGCATAGTTGGTTAGGAAATAAAATACTGTATACTTGTTATATAATGAAGTAGGAGGTATGTAAATTTGTATACAGAGCAAGGAATAGATTACTTATTAACTTGATTTTGACATAAATGTTAGAAACCAGGGACGTTGAGCAATGTCCATTGTTTTACTTTTAAAACTAATAACAATAATAATAATAATAAAAAAACCTGAATGAACCAAATACATTTACAATTCTGATAGAAGCTTTGATGTAAGAATAAAAATTAGTGTTCTTGTTTGTCATCCTTTACAGTGATTTTTAGGAAACCTCCAAGACTTCCAAAGAATAGAAGTGTATTTCATATTAAAAATACTTTTTGGCTCTGTATCTGCCCACATTTTTCCATTTTAATCCTTGGAAATTAGAAAGAATACTATATTTTTTTTTGCTACATTTTAAAATGTAAGTACGGTGTATCATTAGGGTTTTTGAGATGCATCAGTAGAATAAAGATACACCTCTGCTTAAAACTGCCATTCTGTGTTGGCTTCATTACCACCGAACCTCTTGAATCCAGTATAGCTTGCTAAGAAATGAAGATACATAACATTGGGGTTGCAACTGTAACGGGGACCATTTCCTAGAATAAGATGTATTGACCAAGCTTTGTTTTTGTTTTACTATTGTAGGTTTTAACCGACATCCATGGTGTGAGTTTGATTCCATGCTTGTAAGATGACTACCGCTGCTCGACCAACCTTTGAACCTGCAAGAGGCGGACGAGGGAAAGGAGAAGGGGACCTAAGTCAGCTCTCCAAGCAGTATTCTAGCAGGGATCTTCCTTCTCATACGAAAATCAAATATAGGTAAAGGCCAAGTTTTTGTGGTGGTGATGGCGGGAATTGATTTTGGTAGCGGGCTTTATTTTGCCTGAAAAAGGAAGGCCTGCCGTTTGTTTTCTTTCTGGCATCTAGTGTATTGTCAGTGCAGTATAGTTACCATTTGTACCGGAGACCAATTCCTTGTGTATCTTAACCACACTTGACCAACGAAAGTATTCTGTTTAAGGGAAGACCTGATGCATCTGGAGATTTATGAATTTATCATCTCAGGTGGGTCACACACCATCCCACACAATTCAGTTGCCTCCTGAAAAAGCACCTTTGGGACAACCGTGACCTGGATGACTGAGAATCTCTACAGACTTTTAGCTATCCAATTTGGGATGAAGACCCTTTGGATGGTGTGGGAGTAGGAATGGATTTCCAGAGGAAAAATTGCAGACTACAGGAACCAGGAACACCACTCAGGTGACCCTGAGGTCACAGATAAACCTCCAAGTGCTTCAACGACCCTCTAAAACAGGGGTCACCAACCTTTTGGACCTCAGGGATCACTAAATTCGTAATTTTAAATCCTGTGGACAACTAATATGATCTGCTTAATGACCGGCTGGGTGGGCGTGGCTAGGTGGTCATGTGACTGGGTGGGCATGGCCAACTTGATGTCACTGACGTCGAGGGGCACCTTGCCAGCCTCTACTCGCCTCTCCACTCCCAGCCACTTCTCCCCTGCCTGCCCAGGCTCCTTAGGGCCCCAACGGGAAACAGTTGTTGGAGTTAAACAGCCACCACGAGAAAATTGGCAAAACAGCTGGCTCAGTTCAAGGAGGCTCAGCAAAAGCACCTCACTGAAGACTACGAGCATAGGCTTTCCAAGCAGAGAAAAGACCTGCAGGAGTGCAAGGCCAGGTACTGGCGCCTGGAGGCTCAGCGGGCTGAGATGGTCAGCCAATTCCAGGCCATGATGCAGTCCCACTGGAACAAGGTCCTCTGACTCTTCGCCACCAGTGATGCTTCCCTCCAGCCTTTGCCCAAAGTCTCACACCGGGAGGCTGAAACAGACCCCAAGTCAGAATTTCTGCCCCCCCTCCGACCCACACAAGAAGATCCCGAAGGCGGAGACTCTCTGCAGCAACACAAATGTTCATTGCACGTATCCGGCCCAGGGGCCGTAGTTTGAGGACCCCTGATTTAGTGCAGTATAAAAAATTCAAATAATTTTTCTGCGGGCCACCAAAATTTTCTTGTGGACCACTAGTGGTCCATGGACTACCAGTTGGTGACCGCTGCTCTAAAAGGATGCAAATGACCAGCTGTCTGCAAGGGATATAAATCCTTCCATTCCCCACCATCCAGTCAGAGCTGAAGAAGCTTCTTGGATGAGAATCGAAACGTCTTCAAAAGAAAAAACAAGACAGTCCAGTTGCCTCCTGAAAAAGCACCTTTGGGACAACCGTGACCTGGATGACTGAGAATCTCTACAGACTTTCAGAAGTTTTTATGTTCCAAAATAGAAAATGGCTGATGGAAACTTTCCCAATAGCAGATCATGTTGCTTTGCACTTCCAACCACTTCTTATTTCATTTTTCTCGTCTGCTGTGCTGCATCAGCTTCCTTTTCTTGACTCGCCTTCTTTTAATGTGCTGCTTCTTTCAGGCAAACCACTCAGGATGCCCCTGAAGAGGTGCGCAACCGTGATTTCCGGAGAGAGCTGGAGGAGAGGGAGAGAGTTGCCGTGAGAGAGAAGAACCGAGACAGGCCGGCGCGAGGTTTGTGCCGCCATCATAGCAAAGAGATTGTTTTGCATGGTTGGTCAGCCTCTGAGGCGATAGCCGTGGATCAAATGCAGGCCCAGGAAGCTCAAAAGGGGTTCACTCAAGTAAAATTTGAAAATATTCCATGGGGTGTAATTACTTAATATAAGGCCAGCTCAACAACTTGTCACTATAGATAAAAAATGGTATATACCGTATTTTTCGGACTATAAGACGCACCTAAATTTACAGGAGGAAAGCAAAAAAAAATTTAGTTTTTGGCCTCCACACGTCGGATTTTCGCCCTCCCAGGCCCCCAGAAACACTGTGCAGTGCTCTGCACGGCCCATTTTTGGGCTCCCAAGACCTCTAGGTGGCACATTTTCACCCTCTCAGGCCCCCAGAAGCACTCTGCAGTGCTCTGCAAGGCCCATTTTCATCAAAAAACGTGCCCGTTTTTGGCCTGCAGAGTGCTTCTGGGGGCCGGGAAGGACGACGCACAGAGAGCTTGGGAGCCAAAAAATGGGCCCATTTTTGGCAAAAATGGGCTGTGTGGAGCACTGCAGAGTGCTTCTGGGGGCCAGGGAGGGCGAAAATGTGATGCACGGAGAGTTCAGGAAAAATGCCCGTATTCAGTCTATAAGACGCACCTGAATTTTCACCCACTTTTAGTGGGGAAAAAGGTGCGTTTTATACTCTGAAAAATACAGTAATTAACTTCTTTCCTTTACTCTAAAGACTGTTTACAGTCTTACAAGCAAAAATCCCTGAGAGCCGGAATAGACTTAGTACTTTCCTCTGCCTCTTCTTGTTCTCAGTGAGAGAAACAGTAATATAACTCTTATTAGAATTTGGATATACTGAAACATCGGTGTGACCTAGTAATATTTTCTTTTAACCTGTTAGCTTCATTTTCTGTGGTATTCGCTTTTCTTTCATTACTGTTTGGTTATTAAGTCCTTTTTTTCTTTCTTTCTTTCTTTCTTTCTTTTTTTTTTGTGGCTATGTTTCTTTCCCAGAACACACAACTTCCTCTTCGGTCTCAAAGAAACCTCGCCTCGATCAAATCCCTGCCGCTAACCTGGATGCAGATGACCCTTTGACTGACGTATGTTATTTCAGACCGTTTGGGCACTCGGCGGTTCTCTTCTCCATGGCCTGCCTTGATTCACTCATAGCTCCTCTGCTGTGACTGTTGGTGCAGTCCAGGTCAGATAAGGATTAAGGTCGTCACTTCTGTCCTGATCAATTTTTTGACTCAAGATTGAGTCTGCTGCGGATGCTACCTGGCATCCGCTCTGCTGCCACTCAATTGTGAGGAAGGAAGGGGCGGATTCAGTGAACTTCGAGTTTTCAGAATTGACTGTGAGGCCCAGGTTTTTTTTGTGAAATCAAAATAAATGACCATAACCATTGCCGCTGTAGTTTACAAAATGGAGTGCTCTTTCCTCAAACTGGATTAATGTAGAAGACTGACATACGAGCTTCTGGATGTTAGAATTTTGGAATGGGAATCTTTACGGGTATTGCAAACCATAGAGCTTTTCTGTCGGTGGGGCCAGGCGGTCCCCTCCGGAAAACACGACTCTTGAATCCATTGAGTTGAATCAAAAGAATTTTTACTGAGAGAAACTGGATGCAGTAGAGTCAGGCGGAATCGGAAGGTCCTGCACCAAAGCGTAAAACAATTCCATCGATTGCCCAGTCCCAACCTGTCTTACCAGTCCACCGGCAGCCAATGTGATGCCGAGAAGATATTTTGAGAACACTGAGGTGCTAGGCCAGTGATGGCTAACCTTTTTGTCGTTATGTGCCAAAAGCGTGCGCGCACATGTGCTGGCACCCATAATGCAATGCACATGCAATGCGCACTGCACATGCAGCACTACTCCCCCTGCGCCCTGTTTTGGGCCTAGCAGGCCTCCATGCAGCCTCCTGGGACCAAAAATGGGCTGCAGGGGGGGCGCCGCACACACACCCTGCGCCCCCACCCCCACCCCCGCATGTGCGGCAGAGACCCGAAACTCAGCTGGCCGGCGGGAGGCGCACGCACATGCGCAACGGAGCTGAGCTGGGTGACGGCTCGCATTCCCGCAGAGAGGGCTCTACATGCCACCTGTGGCACGCGTGTCATAAGTTCACCATCACGGTGCTAGGCAGATAACAGTTCACACTCTGGGCACAATGGCCTTGGAACCTGGCGAAAACCGGCTGGAAAGAAGTCCGTCCCATCTCCGAAGACAGGCCCCCTCCCAAATTTCCAAGCGAACAGCGCAAGCGGAAAAATCCCAAGCATGCCATCTATCTCCACAAGCATAATGGCATGAGGCACAATGGTGGATCTGACATCTTCCTTCTTAAACTTTGGGAATCGTAAACTTCCATTTAATTGCCAAATCTTTTTTTTTAACTGATAAGCACTTTTGAAATTTTGAGAATATTTATTTTATTTATATCCCGCCTTTATTTTTATAAACAAGTCAAGGCGGTGAGGTGAACATATCTAAATGTCCTTCTTCCTCCTGTTTTCCGCACAACAATGTTGTGAGGTGGCTTGAGAGAGAGGGAGTAGCCCAAGGTCACCCAGCCGCTTTCAATGTTAAACATGCTTTCCCAAAACTGCTGCACCAGAGGGTGTGGCCAGTCACTAAACATCCATTTATTGGACAGCAAACTTCCTGCCGCTCCTTATAATATCCCATAACTCTAGGATATCAACTTCCGGGGTTTTTTTCACATACATGACAAAGCACTGGGATTTGACTCCCATCATTTTTATTTTCTAAAATGTTTTTCTCCTGCATTTTTAATGCAGAACTATTAAAATTGCTTGAAGTGAATATATTGCAATATACTGGCTTCTGTGTGGCTTCACTGAGCAATGACTCAGTGGCTAACATGCTGAGCTTGTCGATCGAAAGGTCGGCAGTTCGGCGGTTCGAATCCCTAGTGCCATGTAATGGGGTGAACTCCTGTTACTTGTCCCAGCTTCTGCCAACTTTGCAGTTCGAAAGCACATAAAAAATGCAAGTAGAAAAAATAGGGACCATCTTTGGTGGGAAGGTAACAGCATTGCATGCGCCTTTGGTATTGAGTCATGCTGGCCACATGACCACGGAGATGTCTTCGGACAGCGCTGGCTCTTCGGCTTTGAAACGGAGATGAGCACCACCCCCTAGAGTCGAGAACGATTAGCACATATATGCATGGGGAACCTTTACCTTTTTATGTATTTTTGTTTCAATTAAATCTATCTAATAATTATTATTATTAGAGACCCAGGCCTATATTAAATAATATATGTTGTGATTGAACCTAAGAAGATGGATACAGAGCTGAATTGAAAATACGGTAGCTTAAAAATGGTCTCAAGGTTTTTGTTTTTTTTAATTTGATTTATATGCCGCCCTTCTCCGGAGACTCAGGGCGACTTACAATGCGTTAAGCAATAGCCTTCATACTTTTGTATATTTATACAAAGTCAGCTTATTGCCCCCACAAATTGGGTCCTCAATTTACCTACCTTAGAAAGGATGCGAAGGCTGAGTCAACCTTGAGCCTGGTGAGATTCGAACTTACAGTAATTGCAGACAGCTGGTGTTAATCACAATGCTATCAGTCTGCTGAGTCACCAGGCCCGTTGCATACATGATCCCCCCCCCCTCTCCCAAAATACGTTTCATTTGAAAATTTTCATGTTCAATTAGGAGGAATCAGAAACGGAAAGAAATCTTTGGTGAGTGATGATTTCTGTGGTAAAAATTTAAAACTGTAACGTATGCTCGCTTGGTACAATCTTGATTGGAAAACTGGAAATTGCCAATTGAATAAACTTACACCTTTTTCTCACCGGTACAAGTTTGTTTGGTTAGTTGCTTGATAAGTGCATTATATATACCTGTTTTATGATATGACCCAGGGAACTGGAATTAAAAAAATTTACACTAGCAGGAGGGTACTAGTGTGCATTTCAGAAATAAATTGGAAGAGAGGCGTCAGAGCACAAGGGAAGCGCCTGTCTGTTTTTAAAGCAGCTGCTTCTTGGGAAACAGCAGGCTTAATTCGGTCAGTGGTAGGGAAGCGCTGTGTTTGGGCCTTTGTGCCATCCAGAGTTCCTTTCGGGAATGGAATCTGAAACATTGCACACTCCTCTTGGGTATAAAATGAACAGTCTGCTGGTTTTGCTCCATTTGTAGGAGGAGGAAGAGGAGGAAGATTATGATGAAGAGAGTGACGACGATACAGCTGCACTGTTAGCTGAGCTAGAGAAGATAAAAAAGGAACGAGCTGAAGAGCAAGCCCGGAAGGTAAACGCATGATTTAAGTTTGGTGATGAAATGACAAAATGAAGATAGGTAGCTGATGGATACCTTCTAGGGCAGAAGTGTCAAACTCGAAGCCAGCAGGCCGAATCTGGGCCCTTGGGATGCTTAGATCTGACCCGCAGGACCGCCCTGAAAACAGCAAAGGACTGGCCTGTGGGGACTCTGCCAGCAAAAACTGGCTCCGTTTTCACTGACAGAGGGCTGCAGGAAGCTGTCGCGGCCGAAAAGGGGCCGTGGAGGAGCTGCTCGCGGCTCCCCCGAGCTCTGTTTTCGCTGGCAGAGGGCTAGCAAAACAAACTAAAAACAAAAAAAATGTTTGCCCTTTTGTATTTGAGCATGCAAGAAAGGAGAAAGGGAAAGAGGAAAGACAAAGAAAAAGATGGGAAGATGGGAAGAGAGCAAGGAAGGAAAAAAGGAAAGCGGGGAAGGAAGAAGAAAGGAAAATGAAGAGGGAAGGAAAAAGAAAAGGAGGGAAAGGAAGGAAGAAGGAAGATTATAATGAGAGTGGGGGTGGGGTGGGTCTGTGGGAAGTCCTGCCTTAGTACTTGGCCACCACAGGTGCCCCCGCACGAGTGACGTCGAGCTGGCCACGCGTACCCTGGCCCCACGAGGTCAAACAAAACCCTGATACGGCCCTCAATGAAATTGACACCCCTGTTCTAGGGCTACCATTAGAGGTAGCCCTCAACTTACGACCACAGTTGAGCCCAAAATTTATGTTGCCAAGTGAAAAATCTGTTAAGTTTTGCCCCATTTTACGACTCTTCTTCCCACATTTGTAGAGCGAATCCCTGTAATTGTTAAATTAGTAGCATGGTTGTTAAGTGAATCTGGCTTCCCCACTGACTTGGTTTGTCTAAAGGTTGCAAAAGGCAATTCGGGAGCCCTGGTAGACGGCAACCGTCACGAAAATATCAGCCCCTTCAGCATCCGAATGTAAATCATGTGACCTAGGGGGCGCGGCAATGGTCATAAGTGTGAAAAATGGTCACAAGTCACTTTTTTTCAGCACCGTTGTAACTTCGAACAGTCCCTTTGTGAACTGTTGTAAGTTGAGGACTATCTGTATTTATTGAAAATGATTCTTTTTTTATTTGGGGAGAAATTCTTTCATAACTCTGCTGCTGAAATTGCATTTGATCGATGATAATGTTATCCAGTCGTGTCCAGCTCTTGATGTTTCTATGGGCCAGGTCTCTCCACATCTTCCGATCTTGCCCTACTTCCTTGATTTTTCTATGCTCTGGCTGTGTCAGCTTTGATGGTGTACATTTGATTAGATGGGCACATTTAGATTCTAAGATTGAGTGTTGTGGTGGCCTAGAGGTGGAGCTCTCGCCTCAGAATCAGGAGGCTGTGAGTTTGATCCTAGGTAGAGGCAGATATTTCTCTCTCTGGGCACACAGGGAATATATCTGCTGAAAAAAAAGCTCAGCATTGGCGACAGGAAGGGCATCTGGCCAGTAAACACTCATCTCTATTCAGTTGCCCAGACTCCACCCCGCAAGTGATTATGGGATTGTTAAAAAAGAATGATTTAGGTTCTATGAGATGGAAAAGGTATGGAGTTTGGATACGATGAACACCAGCTATCTTCTATTATTTTCCTCTCAAAAACCCTTTTCACCTAACAGTTGTAAATCGTTTTTCCAAGCGATGGTAAAGTAAGTAGCGCCTCATTGCAAGTGTTTTAGAACTGCATTATTTTCAGTTTCACTTATGAGAGGCTGCTGGGAAAAAAAGATGCTTATTGACGTAAAATCTAGCCAAAGCATCTATCTATCTATCTATCTATCTATATAAAAGCCAAATACCACTCACTCATCATGAAATCTCCAGAACAGTAAAGCCTACAAACTTGAAATTTGACATGTATGTTCCTCTTGGCTTCTAGGTGCTCGCTAAGAAAGGATTTTTCGAAATGACCATCAGATCATTAGTATTTCATATACAGTATTATATTCACACGCTGTGATGCTAAGGAGTTAGACGTTCTACTCCCCCTCCCCACCTGAAAGGAACTCTGTTCCAACTGCCAGTTGCCTTATATTAACACGCTCTGATGCTACCCCTTCGCTAAACCGGGCATGGGCGTGGCCAGCACGTGACTCATCCAGCCTGCGGGCTGGGACATTCTACTCCCCCTCCCCCTCTGTTCCGACTGCCAGTTGCCTTATATTAACATACTCTGATGCTATGGAGTTACACATTCTACATTAAGTTTCGGGCTTTAAGAGTCGATTTATCACGCCCGATCACATAGTTTTGTAGCAAAGCACGGGCGTCCAGCTAGTATTTTATAGTTGTGAAACGTGCTAGGAGAGAGTAAGGTCTATTTCACTAATAAAAGCAGTTTGTTAACAAGAATAGAGAGCTGGCAGTTCACCAAGTTGCAGCCCAATATGGAGAATTGTTGGGCCTCTCATGTAAGTAAACAGTTTTAAATCATTTCTTGGTAATCCAGAGATACCAACAATCCAGTCTTGTCCATTATTGTTGTGGCTCCGTTACCTGAGCCTGTGTCATCGGCAGGGGAGGACTCCGAGAATGAAGGAGAGGAGTTGGCAAGGCCTCCCTGTCCAGGACCCTCCTCTTTGGCAATGCCTTCGGTGTCCGCCGAAGGGCAAGAGATAGGGCCGGGGCCTAGCATGTCCACGCAGCCACAGGTGGACAGTGATGAGAGTAATGAGTCTTGGCTGGATCCACGCCAGCGTCGCAGAGATAAGTGCGTGCAACAGAAGAAAAGGCATGCCCGAGATTAGGCTGAGTCACTGGACCACACCCCACAGAGTATAAAAGGGAGCGTGGTGGCCAGTCAAACCTTGTGACGAACAAAGCTGAAAGCTTCCACGCCATTCTGCATTGCCGGACTTTTGCTATAGACTTTGCTGGATTATCTTTGGACTTGATTTACTCTGTAATTATTGAGCTTTTTACTTTGATGTACCAGAAGCGGGGAGAAGTTATCTCTTCTCTTTGTAAGTAATAAACTCTTGGCAGGCAGCCACTAGGTTGCTGCCAAGTTCCGTTATCATAAGGAAAAGGATTTTGTTGGCTGGTTTGGTCTTTAACTCTTGGACATCTGTTGGTGTGTGTGCGTGTGGGACGGGGACAGAACAATTATATCAGAGCAAAGCAGTCATTGCATATAAGCTAGGAATGTGCAAAACTTTCAGAATGATTTTGAATTTGGAACATTTTGCCATTCCCCGATACAACTATTATTTCTAGAAACAATCCTTTAGTACCACTAGAGGCTGCTAGAAGCTGTTCGATGTAAAGTTTCCCGTCAGGCACCGTCCAGATGAACTGAATTGCAGTTTCTATCTTGCTCAGCCAGATTGGCCAAAGAATGGTGGGAGTAGGAATCTGAGGGCACCACGGTGGGGAAGGCTGGTTTGCAGCTCGAATGAGGGATGTGCAAAATTCCTTAGTACAGGAACAGTTCGCTTGGATATTCCCAGGAAAGTTCAACTTTTTTCTTCCAGAATGCACCAATTGTCTTGTTTTGTGGTGGTCTTTTCTGGATGTGGTCTGGACCCCAACCTGAAATCTTTTCCAGAACATCACGAAGAAAAAGCCATTTTTTTTTCCATAAAACTGTTGGGAATGTTCCTTCTAGTGCAGTGATGGCGAACCTTTTCGGCACTGAGTGCCAAAAAGGAGCACACGCACGCTAGTCTGCACCGCAACCCGGAAGAGGAGCTACCCAGGGGCACATGCGTGTGCCTGAAAATGAATTTCCGGTTTCCAGCACACACATGCTCGTCGGCCAGCTAGCTTTCTGGGTTTCTGGAGCACATGGACATGCGACAATCAGGCTGGCCGGCGCGCATGATCACCCAGGATAACGGAAGACCAGCTCTTCCAGTTTCCTGCACTGCCGCACGCACGAAGGCGTGTGTGCCACTACTAGAACCATCATGGTTCTAGTAGAACACTAGGAGGCAATTGGACTTCCTTGTTTTTTCTTTTGAAGATGTTTCGCTTCTCTTCTAAGAAGCTTCTTCATCTCTGACTGAATGGTGGGGAATGAAAGGATTTATATTCCTTGCAGACAGCTGGTACTACAGGAACCAGGAGCACCACTCAGGTGACCCTGAGGACACAGATAAACCTCCAAGTGCTTCAACAACCCCCCCAAAAAGGATGCAAATGACCAGCTGTCTTCAAGAAATATAAATCCTTCCATTCCCCACTATCCTGTCAGAGCTGAAGAAGCTTTTGGATGAGAAGTGAAATGTCTTCAAAAGAAAAAAAAACAAGAGAAGTCCAATTGCCTCCCGAAAAAGCACGTTTAAGTCAACCCTGACCTGGATGGCTGAGAATCGCTACAAAATTCCAGGGAATATCAAAATATTCCAGTGCTAGATCATTGTATAAACTTGTTATTACTAGGGGTGTGCAGTGCTACAGGTTTGAATCTAAAAAACATGCTTCGACGCATTTGGGAGTACCTCTCTTGTCACTCTTTAAATCAGCTACTTCATTTTATCTACCAGAGGGCAGCTTTGTGATTCAGGAGAGAATTAAAAGAATTTATTTATTTATTTATTGGTTCAATTTATATGCCGCCCTTTTCCGGAGACTCAGGGCGGCTTACAATGCGTTAAGCAATAGCCGACTAACTTTTGTATATACCCGCTTAGTAGGGCTTTTGGGGGACCCCTAAGCGGTGTTCTTTTTTATACAAAGTCAGCTTATTGCCCCCGGGTCCTCATTTTACCTACCTCGAAAGGATGGAAGGCTGAGTTAACTTTGAGCCTGGTGAGATTTGAACTTGCAGTAATTGCAGGCAGCTGGTGTTACTTAACAGTGCTTTAGTCTGCTGCGCCACCAAGGCTCTTTTTTATTGCAAATAGGACTCCTGTTTCTGAGCCATGGTGCACCAAAGCACTTGGGGGTTTTTTTCCAGGTTTTTTTAAATCAAATATAAAGCATCACCCAGCCTCAATTATGATCATTTGCTACCCTGTTTCTCCAAAAATACAACCTACCCTGAAAGTAAGTCCTAGCTTGATTTTTACACGTGCGCCCAATATAAGCCCTACTCCCCAAAATAAGCCCTAATTAAGATCCCACCCACTCCAGAGTACACAGATAAAAATTAAGCTAGGGTGGGAATGGAGGTGGGTGGGGGTGGAGCTGCCCTACTACTTACCTTTGGACAGTTGTATCCAGGCCTCACGCACCCCGACATTAGTGGTGGGTTTCAAAAATTTTTACTACCGGTTCTGTGGGTGTGGCTTGGTGGGCGTAACATGGCTTGGTGGGCATGGCAGGGGAAGGATACTGTAAAATCTCCATTCCCACCCCACTCCAGGGGCAAGAAACTGTAAAAATCTCCATTCCCTCCCCAATCCAGGGGAAGGTTACTGCAAAATCCCCATTTCCTCCCGATCAGCTGGGACTTGGGAGGCAGAGAATAGATGGGGGCGGGGCCAGTCAGAGATGGTATTTACTGGTTCTCCGAACTACTCAAAATTTCCACTACCAGTTCTCCAGAACTGGTCAAAACCTGCTGAAACCCACCTCTGCCCGACACCTGCTTCGCCGGCCCATTTCTTCTGCAGCTGGCAAGGCTCTCCTGAAGGCCTCTGTAGCTGATAACAAAGCTCGGGATCAATCTGGAGCTCTTGTTATCGGCTGCAGAAGCCTTCAGGAAAGCCTTGCCGGCCACAGAAGAAGAAGTTCCTTTTGACCTCTAACAGCGAAAAGGAGGCTAGGGTGACGCACGCAAGTGAGGTTAGTCAGCGGATGACATCTCCCCCCACCCGAAAATAAGACCTGGTTCCTTTTTTGGTGGCAATATATATATATGTATGTATATATATATATGACAGGATCTTATTTTTGGGGAAACATGCTATGCTTCTTTGGCTTCTCCTTTGAACTTATCAAACTGTTTATCCTGCATTGGATAGCTGGCTTACCAAGTACAGTCATCTTTGCTCTGATTGGCAGCTACTCTCTAAGCCGTCGGGCAATCGTTTCCCCACCCCGCCTGCCCTGCACAATTTTGCAGCCTGGAATTCTTTCCGTGGCTGGTTTAACCCTGTTATGTTCCCGTATCAAAGCCATGTGATCTCCTGCTGAGCTTCAGCATTTCTGGAATGTTATGCTTGTCCTGAATTCTGTTTATGAGTATGCTCTATATCTGAGGTAACTAATACCCCTGTCTGGGAAATGACGGCGAGGAATACATGGAGCTTATGTATGTTATTAAAATTAAAATTATGAGCATGTAAGATATTGAGTTTACCTTTTATCCAGAAAGCAACGCAAGACAAAATTATATTGAATACCAGTAAAGGATCAAACTTAAGGTAAATGACATTAGTTGGGTTGGCTTCAACTTGTAGTTGTTGTTAATAAGACAATATTTACAGAATGGATCAAATAGAATACCCTGTTTCCTCCAAAATAAGACATCCCCTGATAATAAGCCCAATCGGGCTTTTGAGCGTATGGCAATAAGGCCAAGCACTTATTTCAGGGTTTGAAAAAATATAAGACAGGGTCTTATTTTCAGGGATACACGGTAGTTCCATTTAGGTGAAGTGTAGCATACGAATAAGATTAAACATTTTAATGACTTTGAATACTTTAGTTACTTAATTGAAGGGTCTGTTTAAGTTGTTACCAGGTTTTCTTTTTACCCTGCAAAGGATTTTTTACACGTCTCTTTTCACAAATCTTGTAGTGCCCTGAGAAAAACTTGAGTGAAAAGTCTGGATTTCCCACATCCTGAATTTAACTGTTACATTTGTTTTTTTTTAATTAGTGCGATTGGCTTTTTATCTTAATATTTATGCTTGCTTGATCTGCCTCCAATCTCCAGATTACACGCTATTTGTGGAGGATGCAAGTGGTATTATCTTTTACCACCTGGCCCAAACTAAATCAGTTGGTATTCGCTCTCCAATTTCATCCCAGGGATAAGCACTGGAACCATTTTTGTTTCCAAGCCAACCCCAAGGTTAAAAGTTGAAGCTGTCACTCAGGAACCGACGTTTCAAATTCCCTGGCCATTTTTATTGTATGTGTGCTGAAAATGAGCATCCTTGGGTCTGGTTTGCTACGAGCGACGTTCTTGGGTGGTTTTAAATAACCTTACCATTACGATATGCATATTTAGGATTTATCAATAGCATTACAGTTTGACAATCGTGTAAATTACTTCTTGAAAAATCAGAATTCCATTCCACCCTGCACTGGGCAGATCTCACCTCAAGGGACTCTTTAACATTTGAGGAAGGATTCTGACACGCTTGGAATAGGTTCCGAGAAGGACAAGAAGGATAATCAGGAGATTAGAAACCGAGGCCTGTGAAGAGAGATTAAATGAGTTAGCAATATTGAGCCTTGAGAAAAAATAAGGGTGAGGATAGGATAGCAAAACTTCAAATACTTAAAAAGGCTGCTAAGTAGAAGTCAGCCAAGAACGATTCTTTGTCCTCCTGGAAAGCAAGACTGGGAATGACGGTTTTAAGATACAGCAAAATGAATCCAGTTGATGATTAGGAAAAAAGATGTTATCTCTTTATCTCTTATGGGCTTCCCTCCGCGGGTTGCTTTTAATAAAAGCTATCCAGGCATGTTCTACAGATAGTCCCTGACTTACGACCGATGGCTTAGCGATTGCACAAAGTCACAACAGACCCCCTTCCCCAGGTACTTACAACCTGGTTCTGAAATTGTGACACGTACCCTCATTCACACATGACGGCATTTACGTCTGGTTTTGATACATGCACAACAAAATGGCGCCTAGCAAACAAAATGATCATGGTGACTGCTTAACAACTGCTGCAAAAAAAAGGTTGTAAAACAGATCCGGTCACATGGTGGTCTGCTTTACAACTCTGATGACTTACGACCGTAATGGGCAGGGTACATTAAGGTAGTAAGTCGTGAACTACGTGTAGTTTGGATTTTCATATAGTCTTAATACAAGTGGTGGGATTCAAATAATTTAATAACCGGTTTTCTCTGCCTTAATGACCGGCTGGGTGGGCGTGGCCATGGTGGGCGTGGCCAGGGGTGTGTGACAGGCAGCACTCAGCCTCCTGCGCCCCCCTGGAAGCAAAAATGGGCTGCGGGGTGGGGGGGGGAATGACACACTGCCTCCCCTGCGCCCCATTTTGGGCCTAGTAGGCCTCCCTCCAGTCTCCTGGCAGTGAAAATGGGCCATGGAGGGCCCGGCCCACCCCCTGCGCCCTGTTTTGGGCCTAAGAGGCCTCCCTACACTTACCTGGGAGCCAAACTAGGTAGCTCAGTGGCTAAGACACTGAGCTTGTCGATCAGAAAGGTCAGCAATTCGGCTGTTTGAAGGGTTGATCTCCTCTAGGACTGCCCTGGATACAAAAAGCCAAAACCTCAGAACAGTCTCTGGCTTCCATCCTGTATTTGGTGTATGCTTATTTCAGAAATGGAAACCTGGCACTACAAACATTTTAAAAAAAGAAACTTGGAATGCACTGCAAAAGGACTTGCGGCTGACTCTTTAGCTGCTTCTGCAGGGATCTGAAAAGGAAACAGTCCATTTTTATAAAAGCATGGAGCCCACCTTTCCTTTTCTTGGCAGGAACAAGAACAAAAAGCTGAAGAGGAGAGGATACGGATGGAAAATATCCTAAGCGGTAACCCTTTGCTGAACCTTACAGGACCAGTACAACCTCAAACAAATTTTAAAGTGAAGCGAAGGTATGGAGATGTTAATGGTGCATTAAATTGATTCTCAGCTTTTTTGCCCACTGGATTGTGAATAAGAGTCATAATTCCAAAACAGTTAAATTGGATTTTAATTGAATTGTTTGAAGAGAAAATCGTAAAGCAGAGAACAGGCATTTAAGGCCTTCAAGTCCTTGATCTCTGTTACACATATAAATACCCAATTGTCTTCCTGTACTACAAATTATTTATTTCCCTGTACTTTCCCTATGCTCAGAGTATAGGTAAATAAACAAGAGCTTGTTTACAAGAGAGGCTGTACACCAGGATGTACAAAATTGAACATTTTACTTAGCAGAAAGTGCTGAACCAGCATGGAATAGACACTTCTGGACTGTCTATTCCAGAATAGACTGGACTGTCATGGAGGGGTTGAAATAGAACATGCCAGAACTCTCTGGCACCTACCATTCCTCAGTGAGTTCTGCACATAACTGTGAGCTTGATCGGCCAAAGTGTTATTGTTTCTTTTTCTATTATTGTTTTAAAAGCCCTACTTAGTTCTACAGTCTTAATATTGTTACTTTAGGGTTTCATTTTCAGCCCCCACGGGATACAATGTTTCCTCTGTAATTGATTTAATCCAAGCTCTTGGATTCTACCAAATCTTTAGGATTGACAGAATTTTCCCAGGCTCAGATTCAGAGATAGAAATCTAGAACTAGAGGGAAAAAAAATTCACTAAAATGTACATAAGAAAAGGGGTCAGGGCACATTTTAAAATTCCTCCATTCCCAGATAATTAATTTATATTTCATTGTTTTCCATTGGGAAACAAAGCAATATCCGCATTTTTAAATCTTACGTCTTCCCTACACACAGGCAAATTTGTGTCTTGCACAACAGATCCTTAGATTCTATTTGTCTGAATCTGTTTCTGACTACTGTTTAGATGTTGCCAGATATAGCTAAGTTTTTTTACTTATTTGTATAATGCTAAATCCTCAACTTAAGTTCAACTTGTGATGGACCTAGCTGTGGGTTAATTACAACCTGGATTAGAAGTGACAACTATTGGTGGGAGTGGGACTGCAGTCATGTGGCCGTATGTTGGATGCTTGGCAAACAGTCGTTTGCAGCATCATTTAATCCCATTTTACTATGACTTTAATCCATTTTAGGTTTGCTTAACAAACTCCATATTCCCATTGTAACTGCTGCACTTGCTTAACGACCACTGCAAAAACGATAATAAAAATCGGGTGCGTCATGTGACTGACCTGTTTTACTGGCCATCACGACTTATGAGCAAAATGGACAGGTTCCGTCATGGCCATAACTCAAGGGAAGCCTGTATGGTTTCTGTAATCAACTCAAGTATGCATTCATAAACTTCCGTTTAGGAAGATCCGTAATATAAATAAAATCAGGGCTATCCGGGGAAAATTATAATATTGGGCCTTTGTTTTACCTCTCCAAATAGCTCTTAACTGTTAACCGCATTCAGAGTAATAGAGTAACAGAGTTGGATGGGATCTTGGAGGTCTTCTAATCCAACCTCCTGCTCAATTTCAGACAAATGGTTGTCCAGTTTCTTCTTAAAAACCTGCAGTGATGGAGCACCCATAAGTTCTTTTATTACATTCAGGATAGCCTATTTTAACACATGACTCAGATTTCGTAGGAATTTCAGTTGTTTCTTTGTTTTCTGTAATATGCTGTTCCTGCTTCTCCTTCTCAAGAGTTTCTTAACCAAGATGAAGTTTCTGAGGATGGTTGGTCTTTAATCTGGCCATAGTCCCACTCATTGAACTTGAACATTGGGTGCTATCTAACAAAATGAAATTCAATGGTGAAAAAAGTAAGGTTCTACATTTAGCCAAGAAAAACAAAATGCACAGGTACAGTATAGGTGGTACTTCAATACCGTGTTTTCCCAAAAATAAGACCCTGTCTTATATTTTTTGAACCCTGAAATAAGCTCTTGGCCTTATTTTTGGGGAAGTCTTATTATTTTGGGGTATGTGGAGTAAGATGGGGCTCCTCTTGCCGTCTTACCTGATTTCCAGCTCCGTCTCCCTAAACCTAACCAGAGGAAATGGCAGGGACCAGCTGTGCATGTATTTAAATATTTTTGGGGAGGGCTTATTTTTGGGGGGAGGCTCATGCGCTCAAAAGACTGATTGGACTTATTATCAGGGGATGTCTTATTTTGGGGGAAACAGGGTAGTAGTAACTGTGAGAGGGAACTTGGAGTCCTAGTGGGCAACCATTTAAATATGAGCCAGGAGTGTGCAGCAGCTGCCAAAAAAGCCAACACAGTTCTAGGCTGCATAAATAGAGGGATAGAATCAAGATCACATGAAGTGTTAATACCACTTTATAATGCCTTGGTAAGGCCACACTTGGAATACTGCATTCAGTTTTGGTCGCCACAATGTAAAAAAAGATGTGGAAACTCTAGAAAGAGTGCAGAGAAGAGCAACAGAGATGATTAGGGGACTGGAGGCTAAAACATATGAAGAACGGTTGCAGGAACTAGATATGTCTAGTTTAATGAAAAGAAGGACTAGGGGAGACATGATAGCATTGTTCCAATATCTCAGGGGTTGCCACAAAGAAGAGGGAGTCAAGCTATTCTCCAAAGCACCTGAGGGCAGGACAAGAAGCAATGGGTGGAAACTAATGAAGGAGAGAAGCAACTTAGAACTAAGGAGAAATTTCCTGACAGTTAGAACAATTAACCAGTGGAACAACTTGCCTCCAGAAGTTGTGAATGCTCCAACACTGGAAGTTTTTAAGAAGATGTTGGATAACCATTTGTCTGAAGTGGTGTAGGGTTTCCTGCCTAAGCAGGGGGTTGGACTAGAAGTCCTTCAAGGTCCCTTCCAGCTCTGTTGTTCTGTTCTGTTCTGTTCTGTTCTGTTCTGTTCTGTTTATTTGCAAATTATCGCTGTTTCTGTCATTCAGTTCAGCCTACACCTGTTAACATAAGTGGTTCCTGGTTCTGTACTCAAAACTTCCAGAAGGGGAAATATACTTGAATAGTTTAGTATGGACCAAAGTCTCTGGAAGAACTTCTGACGTGTTCCTTTCCTCTTTTAGGTGGGATGATGATGTTGTCTTCAAGAATTGTGCTAAAGGTGTAGACGAGATGAAAAAAGACAAACGATTTGTCAACGACACGCTGCGGTCTGAATTTCACAAAAAGTTTATGGAAAAATACATCAAGTAGGATCTCATTTTTGAATAGGTTGTGTTGCCGATAGATTGTGTGGCACAAGTCATTTGCCTTCCATCAGAAACATGCTGGCTCGGATGGAAATCTGTCAACAGTGGGCAGGTATCCCCCATGATCATAGGTATCTTTTTAACTTAATTCCTCGTCTGGCATATTTTTGCATGTTTTATTGTTGTAAAATTACCCCGTGCCGCCTGCCCCTTCCCTTTTCTTGAAGATGTTGGTTTCCTTATTGCTATGAATTTATGTTCACTGGAAAATCATTTTGTAAATGTTTTGAAAACGACTTCCAATAAACCCTCCACTCACTCATGAGATTATTTTCTTTGTTAAACCTACATTAGCTTCCCTCTCCTGTTCTGCAAACTATGTACTCTCCCCTTACTCAAGATGGGAAAAGCTTGGATATGTTTTTAGACTCAGCAGAGATCCTTCTGTCTTCTGTGACATAAAGCATCCTTGTATTCTGGCTGTCAGCTTCATGGACAAGCAGGTTGACTGTTGCTCCTAAGCACCAGCAACTTCGTTGCTTAGAAGTTTAAGAATTTGGCCCTACTTCACCAAAACCCCACCATAAGGAAGATGGGGTGGGGAGGATCGGGGTTGAAAAAAAAAGGGAAACGACAATGTCGGGTGGATCATACCCTATTCTGCGAGGTAGGGACCCAGCAGCTGTAATGCTACATAGGAAAGACATAGAGAGAGAGCAAAGAGTGGCTGCCTAGGGAACAGTCAGTTAAGAGACAGCATGTTCTGCAATTGGATAGTTATTCTGACCCGGCTCCCAAACACGACAAACCCTTTGTAGTTAAACAAATGTTCCCTTTGTTAGGAGCGCCAGCAGCCCTGGCAAAAAATCTCTCTCTCTCTTACAGCAGGCTAACAAGTCTGTCCAGCAGGGAGATGAATAGTTGTCTGCCACACATATTCATCTCCACCCCCTGCCTTTTATCCCCAGAGCTAAGATTGAGCTTCGCTAGCAGCGGTGGCTCTTCCTTCCCAAGGATCAGCTCATAGATTTCCACTGCTCTCCTCTCCTCTGCCTTCTGCACATCTGTACAAAAGGCACTGGACCCAGCTGTTCCTCCTCTTCCTCATCAGCCACCTCCAGACATGGGGGCTGTTGACTCGCCATCTGAGGACTGATGGATGGTCCAGGCTCTCTTATCTCTGACAGCTCCATTCCCTCTTCCCCCTCGGAGCTCTCAGGTTGCCTTGATGCTGGCCCTGACTCCCATTCCGCCGCCCCCTCTGATTCAGTTGGTGGAGGGGCTGGTGGCCAAGAGGCCACAGCAATAATGGTGAAGCCAGAACCTCAGAAGAGACCCTCCCTAGTTTCTTCAGTTGTAAAGAAGAAGGTGGGAGCCTTGTACTTTCAGACTTGCAAGAGTCTCTTAATACAGCTTTACACTTAGCTGAACACTTAGCTTACCTTGGCAAGTTTCCTATCTACTCTACCACAGCGACGGTGCCTTTTCCTGATATGCCCTTGCGTGGGAGAAGGGCAGGCAAGAGGGTTTTCACCCACGTTTCTGAACAGAAACGGGGAACCTCTTGGGTTAATGTTATGTCAAAGCCTTGGTGATGGGCCTGCCTTTTAGTCCAGTTCGGAATAGTTTTGCTAGCTAGATGCAGGAAGATTCAGATGTACATTTCTTCCCTGCCCTGATGTAATGGGCTGTGAATCTAGCCTTGAGAAAGAGGAGGAAGAAGCCAAGATAACAATCAGATAGGAAAAATCTGAACCCAAAGCAGGAATGGAATGTGACAAAGCACAACCCGACTTGGTCCTCCCTAGTTCCCTTCAGGATGAAGGTAGGGAATGGGGAAGACACTCTCTGTATTAATCCTACAATAAAAGTAGTTTTAGCACTCATGACTTTGGTGTTAGCACTAGCACTTAGACTTATATACCACTTTGTAGTGCTTTATACAGCCTTCCCTAAGTGGTTTACAGTCTGGTTCCTCATTTTACCAACTTCGGAAGGATGGAAGTCCGAGTCCACCTTGAGCTGGTCAGGATCGAACTCCAGACTGCAGACAGAGTTTCCCTGCAATACTGCATTCTGACCACTGCATCACCACGGCTGGTTCAGGTCTCGTCTATCTCAAAGGGCTGATACCGCTTCCTCCCCACACCCAAACAAGGATTTCATCAAGATGTTATTTCAGGTTGTTTTCACGGATTATATTTGTCTCCATGTACAATTCCTCTAAAAACGGAGAGGCAACTAAAAAACTAACTATGGAATCCTGGGTGCCTTCTGAACTTGGTTGCTTGCTTGCAGGTGTTTCCTTACCCGATTAACTTCATCATGTCTGCAAGCAAATAACCAGAGTACCAAAAGGACTCCTAAGTTCAACCCTCAGCTTTGTATATTCTCTTCTATTTAAAAACTAACTGGTGGTATAATAACCATAGTTACTCCAAATATAAAAGTGCAAATATCAAATATCAATTTACTTATTCTGTATGGTAACTTACATTCATGTGAGGCACCCAGACAGAACCCAGTGGGACTCTTACTCATTGTCCTTAATGATCACAAGGCTCCCTAATGTTTTATTTTTCAGTTGAAAATTCTTAACTTTGATTTATGTCTCACCTCTCACCTACTTGCCTGCAAGTTCCTCCATAAACCAGCACTGCTGTTAAAATAATTGCAAACATTAAACCAGCCCTAAATAGAAACCTAGCAGGTTACAAAGCATCAGACAAATCATATACAAGTAGTCCTTGACTTACAACAGTTCATTTAATGACCAAAGTTACAACATCACTGAAAAAAAGCAACTTATGACCATTTTTCACACTTACGACGGTTGCAGCATCCCCATGGTCATGTGATCCAAATTCAGACTATTTGACAACTGACGTTTCACATTTATGACAGTTGCAGTGTCCCGGGATCATGCAATCCCCCTTTTGCGACGTTTTGATCAGCCAGGTCAATGGGGAAGCCAGGTTCAATTAATGACCATGTGACTAATTTAACAACTAAAGCGATTCACTTAAAAAACCGTGGCAAGAAAGGTTGCAAAATGAGGCAAAACTCCCTTCACAAATGTCTCCCTTAGCAACATAAATTTTGGGCTCAATTGTGGTCATAAATCAAGGGTAACTTATATTATTGGCTAATATGGTTTATCAAAAGTAGAAGATCACCAGGACTTCACAGAGCTGTGACCAGTTTGGGAATTTTTTTTTAAAAAAAAAATCCTGGAAACTACCCAAAAAAGCTAACACTGGCATTTTATGATATCACCAGGAATCAACATTAAATCAAAGGCGTCTTTAGTTTTCATAATCCATATCCTGATGATGTAATCTGTTTTATTTTACTGCAATCTATTGGGAGTTTGGATGCCGCTAACCTCATGCAAAAGGGACATGGTGACTCAGTGGCTAAGATGCTGAGCTTGTCGATCAAAAGGTCAGCAGTTCAGCGGTTCGAATCCCTAGTGCGGCGTAACTGGGTGAGCTCCCGTTACTTGTCCCAGCTTCTGCCAGCCTAGCAGTTCAAAAGCAGGTAAAAAATGGAAGTAGAAAAATAGGGACCACCTTTGGTGGGAAGGTAACAGTGTTCTGTGCACCTTTGGCCTTTAATCATGCCGGCCACATGACCACGGAGACGTCTTCGGACAGCGCTGGCTCTTTGGCTTTGAAACGGAGATGAGCACCGCCCCCTAGAGTCGGGAACGACTAGCACATATGTGCAAGGAGAACCTTTACCTTTACCTTTTAACCTTATGCAAGGGGACACAGTTCAAGGAATTGAGACCATTGTACTAAAATTTACTGGGCACTATGATGAGTTTTTCCCAAGGAAAAGCTGCACGCATAAATGCGGAGGAACAAAGAGGGGTTTTGTGATCACATTTAAGAGAAAGAAGGTTAAGAAGTTTGTTTTAAAGCAGGAGTGTCCAACCTTGGCACCTTGAAGTCTTGTAGACCTCAACTCTCAGAACTCCCCAGCCAGCCATGAATTCTGGGAGTTGAAATCCACAAGTCTTAAAATCGCCAAGATTGAACATGGGTTTTTAAACCATGAGAAAAATGAACCTGTCTTGGGAGTGCAGTGCCTCCATTTATCATGGATCTCCCTCTTTGGGAAATTCCAGAAAAAAAGTATTTTTGCAACAGTTACTAAAAAAATGCTCCTCCGTCTCTGTTGGGAATGGAGGCCTCCACTTTCTCATGGCCATTTGGCTCTGGATAGTAAATCCCAGAGACAGCTTCCATCTCAGACTTCTGTTATCACAAAGAGAGTGAAACGGACATTCCTTCAAAACTGCAGAAGAGGGCTTCCCCTTGAGAGTTTCTCACATATTTTGTTAAACAGAAGAAACAGATGTGGCAGGCTATGAAACTCCAATTAAAAAATCTCCAGTGCTCAAGAATAACATTCAAAGCCCTGTTTTGATGAAAGAAAAATATATGTAAGTACCTTTGTTGCCGCGTGGAAACCGCTTCTGAACTTTGGGTTTGAGGTGGAAAAAAAAATGAAAGTACGATTTTCGGATTTTACCGATTAGATTGATACATGTTTATAGAAATGGCTAGTTTATATTATTATAGAAAAACAATAAAAAGGTGGTTTGATGTTAATGCTTTATCTTATTGCAACAGAGGGACTCGGAAGTCAACTTTTTTTTCTTTCTTTTTCACAGCCCTTCCTCACCTCGACGAAGTCTCATTCGTCATCTTCAGGCTGATGTTTTCGGCTTCGTGCTTCTAGGAGCGAGTGCTCCTAGAAGCATGAAGCCGAAAACACCAGCCTGAAGATATATATATGTCTATATATACATATATATATATATACATCATATATATGCATATATCTGTGTGTGTGTGTATACACACAGATACAGAATATATGTATAGATGATAGATAGATAGATAGATAGATAGATAGATAGATAGATAGATAGATAGATAGATAGATAGATAGATAGATAGATATACATTGGTGCTGGAGAAGACTCCTGCAAGTCCCTTGTACTGCAAGGCCATCAAACCGGTCCGTCCTAGAGGAGATCAACCCTGACTGCTCTTTAGAAGGCCAGATCCTGAAGATGAAACTCAAATATTTTGGCCACCTAATGAGAAGGAAGGACTCACTGGAGAAGAGCCTAATGTTGGGAAAGATTGAGGGCAAAAGAAGAAGGGAACGATAGAGAATGAGGTGGCTGGATGGAGTCACTGAAGAAGTCGGCGTGAGCTTAAATGGACTCCAGAGGATGGTAGAGGACAGGAAGGCCTGTCCATGATGGGTCGGACATGACTTCGCAACTAACAACAAAAACAACGATCTTATTGTATAACCTAATAAAATGTATTTTTAAAAAAAGAATAACATTCAAAGCCCATAAGTACCTCCTCTGCCATCTCTGATTTTATATATGTATAGAGGTAGTCCTTGACTTATGACCATTCATTTGGTGATAGTTTGAAGTTACAGCGGCACTGAAAAAAGTGGTTTATGACTGTTTTTCACATGGCTGTTGCAGCATGCCCATTCAGCTGCTTGGCAACTGGCATGTACTTATGACTGTTGCAGTGTCCTGAGGTCAGGTGATCACCTATTGCAACCTTCTGATAAGCAAGTCAATGGGGAAGCCAGATTCATTTAGCCACCAGGTTACTAACTTATCAATTGCAGTGAGTCACTTAACAACCAAGGCAAGGAAGGTCTTAAAATAGGGCAAAATTCAATTAACAAGTGTCTCATTTAGCAATGGAAATGTGGGGCTCAATTGTAGTCATAAGTCAAAGATAACCTGTATACATATGTACACCAGCAACCATATACATGAACTAGGTTCAACTTTGCAAACTATTCGTCTCACGTTGACGTGAAGAGTCCTTGATGGTCTGAGTGAATCCTTTTACTAGTTACCGTATTTTTCGGAGTATAAGATGCACTTTCGGAGTATAAGATGCACTTTCCCTAAAAAAAGGTGAAAATTTGGGTGCATCTTATACACTAAATGTAGCCCTGCCCACCTGCTAGCCCCCCCGGAAAATGGGGCACGTGGAGGCGGCAATAGGCTATGGTAATCCCTGCAGCCTGAAACAGCTGATCTTCAGGAGGCTGAGTCAACTGACAATCAGCTGTTTGTGCAATCAACTGTTTGTGCTAATCAGGCTGTGCTGAAGCTGAAATTGAAACGGGCTGTTTGCTGCAAGGAGGCAAATTGCTGGGAGGCAGAGGCAGATTTTTTTTCTTATGCTAATCAGGCTGTGATGAAAATGAAACTGAAACAGGCTGCTTACTGTTTGCTGCAAGGAGGGAAATTGCTGGGAGGCAGAGGCTGATTTTTTTTTCTTGTTTTCCTCCCCAAAAAAGGTAGGTGTGTCTTATAGTCTGGAGTGTCTTATACTCCGAAAAACATGGTATATGTTGTGAGCAAGGAGATGGTTGATTAACAAAGTAACCCCTTGATCTGTGCCCACCCACAAACTCAAAGTTTATCCTAAACTTGGATAATTTATGATTGGGTAGTCAGTGGTTCAGCAAGTTGTGGGAATTCTTCTATTGTCATAAAATGTGCTCTAGAGTGGACCGTTAAAGTCCACTTCAAGCTGAGCACATTGTATCAACACAACAATTATGATACGCTAACCAAGATTTAGGGTTTAGCGTTCTTTGGAACAGGATGCTTTCCACAAGCACTAATTTGCCAATCTTTGAGTTATGTCATAGGGTGTCCAAAGGATGACGTAGTAGTTTGCATCAAAGAAATGATTCGAAAACCGCAGTTGTATACATTTATTATATACAATATTAAGGCACAAATTTAAGCAGCCGAGAACAGGAGAAAATTCTTTGGCTGGCCAGAGTCACCCATATTTGTTATGGAAAATGAGACGCTATGTATATATACAAACACATTCAAGCTGTACAATGCTCTGCAGTAGCCAATCTGCACAACAGAAACACAACGGGGAAAAAATTGACATTATCTTACAATCCGTTTGCCTGAAATATAACTACATAATGCTATATAAATGTCAGGCAGAATAACACCAGAGCAGCACAGCGATCGGCTATTGCGCAAGCTAGAAAACATTGGTTTACAAGTATAGCAGCCACTCTACAAATGCAATACTATAGATAAATTATGCTCTAAATACAGGACTCTCCAAGCTTGGGCAACTTTAAGGCTGGAGGACTTCAACTCCCAGAATTCCCCAGCCAGCTCTGCTTTGCTGACTGGGGAATTCTGGGCATTGAAGTCCGCCAGGCTTAAAGTTGGCAAGGTTGGAGACCCCTGTTCTAATAGGATGGACTGGAATGGGGGTGAACTTCCATCAGCTTGAGGATCACACCAGATTGATTAAGGGAAAAGGGGACAGGGATATTAAGAGGTTTGCAACTTGCCTAGAAAATCTAGCCGACCTTTTCTCCCCCCCCCCCCCCCCACCCAATGCAAAAAAAAAAAAAGACTGCTAGGTTTTGGCCCTGCCCTACCTTGCTTAGGAACCCTCATATTTTGGCATCTAAAAATCTATAGTCATATTATTATTATTATTATTTTGCATGCAGTCAGATTAACAAGATTTTAATGTCCTGATTTCTTTTGGCTTAGGAAAGCTGCCTGCAGTTTGCACCCACAAAAGAAATGGTAACAATTCGCCCTTTGTTTGCAAGCGGAATTTTGGATGTAAAATGTCCTGTCGGGAAGTTATAAACAGAAGGCCTGGTCTTTAATGAAATGTGGCAAGGTATGTACATCTAAGTGTACGTACATATAAATAAATAAAGAAGCAGCACTGAGCAAGCGACACTACGTAGAATCCTGGTGTACATCTTCGCCGTATAGTCCATGGAGAGAAATTTGAGTAAGACCACAGACAGTCAGAATTCGAGGCCTGCTATTTATGTTAGGATAAAACCTAACTGGGCCTCAATAGAGTGCTGCATTTTGGGCTTTTTGCCACAGAGAACAAGGGCCTCCCTGTCCTGGATTTAAAACATGTCTGTAACAAGAGGCAGTAAGACTGTCCCTCTGGTCCATAGAGGAAGGGAAAGAAGAAAAAAAGATTTGCGTGACCTTGCTATCTACAGATACTCCGGGAAGTAGCGTCTACTACAGAGGTGTCAAACACAAGGACCGGTCGCCAGATTCGGCCCATGGGGTGCTTAGATCTGACCCGTGGAGTCACCCTGGAAACAGTGAAGGACCGGCCCGCGGTGCCCCCGCCAACGAAAACGGAGCTCGGGAGGACCATGTGCGGCCTCCCGAGCTCCTGTTTTCGCTGGCAGAGGGTTGCAGGAGGCCGTCCCACCAAAAAAGGAGCTGGCAGAGTACTCAGGCCACCACAGGTGCCCCTGAAATGAGTAACATCAAGCTGACCACACACCCCTAGCCATACACCCCCGCCCCCCCCCCCCCGAGGTCAAACACAATCCTGATGCGGCCCTCGAGGAAATCGAGTTTGACACACCTGATCTACTACTATAAGCCTTGGGAGACATTTTTTTTCCACCTAACATCTGACGAAGAGGCAAATTCATGAGTCAGAGCAAAACCAGAACACGACTACATGAACTAAGGACTCTTACCGAGGTACACAGGCATACTTTTCTTCAGAAAGAGTACAACGTAACCGGCACTACACTACACAACAAGAGGAGAATACAAAAAACAGCTGCACATTTGGCCCCATCTGGAAGGGACCACCGTGTTAACTACTTCCTACATTATATTAGGACTCTTTCAACATTCCGGCTTACAGCAGAGACTCAAAGATACCTTATTTAGCACCAGGTCATAAATAGATCTACTGGCAAGTCAGCAAAGCTGATCCTAAGATGCACTATCTTCGGGAGTGGAATTCAGCCGGTTCGGGCAAACCGGTAGTTCCAGCGATCAGCTGAGAGCGAATCGGTTTGCTCCGATGATCAGCTGGGCCCGCCTGCCCGTCCCTGTGCTATACCGACCTATATTCCCTTTGTTTGAAGCCCAGCTGATAGGCGTGGCAGAGCGGATTGCCATGCCTCAGCTGTTTTACTCACTGGGGCTGCAGTAGAAGGTAAGTTTTAGAGCTATTTTCAAATACACTGTGCGTGCAGATAGCACGTTTGGCGCATGTGCACTCAGCGAACCGATTGTTACACCGGTTGAATCCTACCACTGGCTATCTTTACACATGATTGTTCGGATGCATGACCTGTGGACGGAGACCAGTCTTCATCAGGAATTTTGCTATGAATCCAGGGAAGTCATCTCATTCGATGCTACTGGGATTATTAACTTTAGGGCTAAAATGAGCTGGGCTCTGGCACAGCCAGAATAAATTAAATTTGAAGGAGCTGGAGATCTTTCGGTTGATTTTGTTCACCGATTGCTTAGTTTCATAATGCAGATGATTTTGCGGAATAAGGTCACAGCAAGTCATGGCTCTCATGCATTAAGCACCTGGGTTGTCAACTCATTCTCCTTTGTTGTCAACGGCATTCAGGGACTTCAGTAGACCGAGACAGCTAAAGAGATCATGGAAAGAATTTAGGATTAACCTGTCTAAACTTTGTTCTACCAGAGATCTACGTCGGCAGGTTTGACATACAGTAGAAGCAAACCCAGATGGTAGAGGGATCAAAAAAGAAAAAGCAGGAAGAAGATAGCAGCTAAAAGAACGATATTTGGAAGTCCTGCTCCCTCACCCAAGAATTGCAAATACAATTCAAAAGAATTCCATGTGGGCAACATACCACCCAATGATGTTACTGGTTAGGTGGTTGGAGAACAGTTCCTGGCACATCAAACACATCCTCCATAGAAACGTCCTCTGATTCCTGTAACGTCTTGCCTTTCCCCACCCCACAAATCCACAGCATGGTTAACTGTACATAGCAGACCTCCCAAATGTCCTATCTCCAACATTCTGAGTCCTCTGCTCTCCTCAACACTCAGATTCGCCTGGCGTTTTCTTCTAGGTTCGAACTTTCTTGGTCCAACTTTGTGGTGTCCTCCAGAGTTTTTAATTCAAGCACAGCAATGAAAACAACACCCACCCCCCCCCCCCCCCCCCCACCCTCTCTCTCTCTCCAGGGCGGAGAGGTGCTTCCCCCAAAGCAGCAAAAGCTCCATGGCTTCAAATAAGGACTTCCATCATATCTGGATCTGGAAATTCAGGCTTGTGAAGCAGATGGCTAACTCGGCTTCTGCTGCTGTCCAGGAGCTTCGCACAGCTGGAAGAGTTTTCTAGGAGGGAAAAATGTAGAGAATGGGTCAGTGGTGGGATTCAAATAATTTAACAACCGGTTCTCTTCCCTAATGACCAGCTGGGTAGGCGTGGCTCGGTGGTCATGTGACTGTGCGGGCGTGGCCAACTCAACGTCACTCACGTCGATGGGCGCTTCGCCTCAGCTGTTACAATGTAATAAGGGTTAACCAGAGAGCAGTTTCTGTAAGCAGAGCAATAAAGATTAGCCTAGAAATAACACCAGAATGTTTCCTTCCTGCCTTCCTTACAGGATTAGGCCCTGTAAAGTGGAAAAAACCAAAATAAGATTTCTTCCAACAACCGGTTCTCCGAACTGCTTAGAAAGTTAACAACCGGTTTTCCCGAATAGGTGCGAACTGGCTGAATCCCACCACTGGAAGCCAATCTACACAAGTGGGACACGTCTCTCACACACAATTCACATGACGTTCTTTCCAGGCTGCCACTCCATTGGGTAATTATTTTTGCGACCTCCTTTTAAGACCATACCTTCAGGCAATGGCGATCCTAGCTGTTACTAAACAAAACGTGCCTTAAACTTGCAGGATTTGTAAAACTCTTGGTGCAAGTGGCTTCCATTTCAACAGTGTGCAAAGGAATAGAAAAAAAACATTCCTAGAAGTGCCACAGGGAAGCAAGTGAAAGCACAGAGTTCCCTTTAACTCATAAGTCCAGTAAGAGATTAATCATTCTAAAAATAAAAGCTGAGAGTTTTCCAGGAGGAAAATCATCAATGGATAGAAAATAGATAATTTCTGAATCTGTACACCTTTCAATAAGTTTGCATTTTGTTCACTTGCTGAAAATATTTATAAGCAACTTTTCAGTTTATCTACAGCTGAATTTTACTTCACAGATAGTCCTCAACGTATGGCCGGTCGCTTAGCAACCTTTCAAATTTACAACAGGACACACACACACCAAACATACTTACGACCCAGTTTTGAAGTTCCAACAGCTAGTATCCGACTTGGAACATGTTTGTATTTTCAGTGCTCGGCAATCAGCCTGCATTTATGGCTGTTTGCAATGTCCTGCAGTCACATGATCGCAATTAGGGCATGTTGTGATGGAAATCACATTTACTATCAATTTCTGGCAAAAAAAATGGCTATTGCGAACAATAGGTTCGCTTACCGATGGTGGATTTGCTTAATCTCCACGGTAATTTGCTAATGAAAAAAGTCATAAAATCAGATCGGCGGTTTAGTGATAAAACACAAAATGATTGACATGACTTACAACTGTAATTAAAGTTACAGATTGAAGACTACCTGCATTTTGCTTTTTCCTGGAAGCAGATTTTCGAAACTCTGAATTCTACAAATCGCAAGTTTACAGATCCTGCCAGTCATGTTCTTGGGATCAAGGCAATTGGAACTACTCACCCGGTTTCTCCCCAGCATTTTTGCCTGCGATGTGCCTCAGGGCTGGACTGCTGCCAGAACAGTGACTCAGTTTCCCTCTACCCGGAAAAGAAGCTGCAGTGGGCCAGAAAAGCTCCGTGCCTTTGTCTGTCTGAGTGCTGTTGTCTTTGCTGCCCATTTTAGCATGGCAGATGGTGATTGGCCATGAAGACATTGTAGAGGACAAAGAAGGAGTTGGAAGGGTCAACGAAGGGATGGGTGACTGTTCAGAGGTGTCTTTCCCTAACAGCAAACCTTCAAGAAAATAACAACAAGGACACCAAGATATTTTTCATTATATTTCTGCCACGGGTTCCTCCAAGAGCACACAGGTTAAAGTTTGCAATGTCTGATGCAAAGAAGCTACATTCTGTACAGAATGGTCACAACAAGCACACAACACTCTAAGCTAAAGTTCCTGGGGAGTCTTGAATATTGTAATAAGCAATATTACAAACAAGAGTGACTACAGAACCCAAGAAACTTAACTGTCTAAACCTGGATTCCCAGCTTGCCTCTACTGTCACAAACTTGAGTTTGAATTGGGAATTTAGTTGGCTTCCCAATCTTGGCTTTTTACTGGAGGGGTAAGCCAGGATAAAAATATATTGTTAAGTTTCCTATAGATGACACTTTGCTAGTTATTTTAACTAGCATCCATTGAAAAAGGAACAAAATGGGAGTTAAATGTCTACGGAGGTTCTTAGTCATCCAGGTCATGGTTCTCCCAAAAGTGCTTTTTCAAGAGGCGACTGGACTTTCTGGTTTTTCTTTGAAGACATTTCGCTTCTCATCCAAGAAGCTTCTTCAGCATTTTTGTTATTAAGTTATAGAGTATTATAAAATACAAAATACAAAAGTAAATAGAAGAGCAGTGAGGGGGGAGGGGAAAGGGGGAAGTGAAGCTGTGCTTCGGGGGCGTGGCAGTGCCAAAAACCACTGTGCGCATGCGTGCTGGCCAGCTGATTGTCGGGTGCGCATGAGTGCCAGAACCCAGAAGCTCAGCTTTTCCAGAGCACGGCCCCGATGAGCGCAGATGTGATGTTTCCGTGTGACGAGTGCCGAAAAGGTTCGCCATCACTGTTCTATTGAATGATAAAGAAGTTTTGCTTGATTTGAACTAAACAAGTTATATGGACCTAGCCACTGCAGTTGACAAAAGACAATGCAGAAAACTGGTATATAAGAGTTGGTTTGGCCTCTGTAACGGATGCCTCCGTACAATATATTAGCCTCTGTATCTCTCTACTCTGTAATGACTCGCTTCTATGAATATTGCTTCTGTGTTCCTGATACTGTATGCTGAATTCTGCTGTTTGGTATTGTACTGTATATAAAGATGTTTCTTATATAATTTGAATCCTGCTGAATTGTCTGATTGTGTGTGCTGCAACAAACTCTGACAAGATCTTTATAGAAATGACCTGTTCATGCTATTATGGAAAAGCAAAAAGCTGTGATTTGATGTTAATGCCTTATTTTACTGTAACAGAGAGAGTCGGAAGTCCAAGAAGCTTCTTCAGCTCTCAGAGCTGAAGAAGCTTCTTGGATGAGAAGTGAAACATCTTCAAAACAAAAAAACAAAAAAACCCCCAGAAAGTCCAGTTGCCTCTTGAAAAAAATGCATCTTTGGGACAAAATGGGAGTTATTTCACAGCACCAACCTGCACACTTGATCATTACTAATAGTCCTACTTCTCAATGTTTTTAATCTGTTTTATGCAAATTCCTATAAACAACACTAAACAAATACAATAAGTAGCATAGAGGTTGCCCATCATCCATTACTGTCTTTGTTAAAATATGTTTCTCACCACCAATCCCAGTTAAATATGCTGAGGTTTCTGAAACTTGCTGGCTCCTTCTAAAAGGAATTGCTGGGAAGGAGCCAGATTGTCTTTTCCGACCACATTATACTCATGGCAGTGATGCAAACTGGCTGAAATGATGTGACAGGGCTGAAGGTTCACAAACATTTTGGCTGCTCTGGGAACAAAGCTAGCAGAATGCTTCCAGCAGCAATTTATGAAGAAGGGAGAACTGCCCATATGGCAGAAGTAAGTAAAATACTTGGGAAGTCTTAGCTTTGTAGCGAGAGCTGAAAAGAAGTTCCATAGAGTTGATTCCAGAGGTGGGCTGCTGGGGGTTCGCAGAAGTTCAGGAGAACCTCTAGCTAAGATTCTGTGCAGTTTGGAGAACCCCCAAATCCCAGGCTGGCCCCACCCATCCCACTCCTCCCAGGAGTCCCCACGCGGCCTGTTTTGGATGCAGATAAGTGCAGGGTGTGCACAGAGGCTCAGGGAGGGCAAAAAACGGGCCTATCAGAAGTTCGGGAAGGCCAGAAATGGACCTGTTTCTGGCCGCCAGAGGGCCTCCGGAGCCTGGGGAGGCCGTTTTCATCCTTCCAGAGGCTCAAGGAAAGCCTCCAGAGCCCGGGGAGGGCAAAAATGCCTCCCCCCCCCGCTGTGGTGCAGGAGGCCGACTAGGCCACGCCCACCCACCAACTGGGCAGAGAACCCCTTGATAAAATTTTTGAAGCCCATCCCTAGTTAGTTCAGAGATAAACAGACCTAAGGCTTAAAGAAATGTGCAGACAACAGAGTCCAAAAGCTAAATAAAATTTGAATCATGTGCTTTGTAGGCTGTGTTATCATCTTAGCACGTTGTGTGAAAAAGGCCATTGTATTAAGCCATAGTAAGATGTGGTGGAGCCCCCAAACAGAGCTTCAGAAAAGAAACCCCCAAACAGAGCTTCAGAAAAGAAGCCCCCAAACAGAGCTTCAGAGGCTTTTTTTCTGTAGCTCAGTTTTGGAGGCTTTCAGAGGCAGGAAAAAAAGTTTCAGAGGCAGAAAAAAAAGCAAGGCACAGAGCTCACAACCAAAGAACCTGTTGCTAAAATTCACCTCTGGGAACAGCTGATTGGGGGTATTCTGGGAGGCTGATCCACCTGCCAATCAGCTTTTTTCTTATTTTCCTCCCCAAAAACTAAGGTGCGTCTTATACTCTGGTGCGTCTTATACTCCGAAAAATACGGTAGTTTACCAAATTTCTTAAAAGTAATGCTTCATAAAACTGCCGCCTAAATAAATTAAGAGGCATTTTCATCAAAAACATAAAAACAAAATTGGGAGGAACAGCAAGCCATCCCAAATAAGCATGGAGCTACATTATATGGGTGAAGCACAACCTTTATCTTCCTTTAAGACAGTGTTTTAAGACAGTCCTAAGCTCAACCCCTTTAAAATGTATGGACTTCAACTCCCAGAACACTCCAACCAGCAAATCTGACTGGCGAATTCTGGGAGTTGAAGTCCACACATCTTAAAGTTGATGAGGTTGAGATGGAGAACATCAGTAGGTCTTTTGCCAGGTTCCAAGTTTACACGCCAAGTATGAGTTCACACGTTCTATTGAATGATAAAGAAGTTTTGCTTGATTTGAACTGAACAAGTTATATGGACTTAGCCACTGCAGTTGGCAAAAGACAATGCAGCATTTAGCATATTGTCTGAACCAGGGGTGAAATCTACTTACTTTCCCTACCAATTTGGAAGTGCACAGACCCTCTGTGCATGCAAACCCTTCTGTGCATGCGCAGAGGGCAAAAAACAGGTTACTTCCTGGTTAAAACCAGGAAGTAATGACCGGGAAGGTGGGCGGAGCCTCGTGCTGCTGTCGCTACCGGTTCTCCGAACCACCCACTGCCATTGCTACCGATTTGGCTGAACCGATCTGAACCAGTAGCATTTTACCCCGGTCTGAACAAAACTGGCCCATTCAACAATTGTCGCTTCATATCACATGTGAACTGAACTGAAGCTCACCAATACTTTCTTTCCAAGACTTCTCTTCTTTCTTCTCCTCAACGCCCTGAGTGTGGTTAAGGGAGGTCTGACGGGAGTGTGTTCCTGTAGCCGCGGCTATCGATGGCACTGACTGAGCGGGCCGCAAACTTGCAGAATCTCCTTTGCTGGTATCTTTCCTGGATCGCTGCTGAAGGACCTTGATCATGGCATCTTTCTCGATGATTTTTGCATACAGATTCTTTATTCTAGCAATAGTAATAATTTTATTACACTGGTAAATGCGGAGGTAATAATATTATTGAAGTATAGAGCCTTGGTAGTACAGTGGTTTAAAGCACCCTGTTATTAACACAGCTGCCTGCAATTACTGCAGGTTCGAATCTTACCAGGCTCAAGGTTGACTCAGCCTTCCATCCTTTCTAAGGTAGGTGAAATGAGGACCCAGTTTGTGGGGGCAATAAGCTGACTTTGTATAAATATACAAAAGTATGAAGGCTATTGCTTAACACATTGTAAGCCACCCTGAGTCTCCGGAGAAGGGCGGCATATAAATCAAATTAAAAATAAAATAAAATAAAATAAATAAATAAATAAAGTAAGACTTAAAAGAGGTCACTTGGCCCCAGCTAGAGAGGGGTAGGTATGGTATTTGGACCAAAACACCTTCCTCAGTCAATGTTCACATGTTGCATCCTTCTGATCCCAGTTAGGGTTTCCTTTAATCCTTAGCTGATAACTTAGCATTAATACAAGAAAAGCCTGGAGGGGAGGTCTTTGCTTGGTGCCCCCCCACAAATGCAAGAGATGATGCTTAGGATCTCCCAGGCAGAGACCGTTCATTAAATATAGTAATCAAAGGTGGGCTGCTGGGGGTTCTCAGGGGTTCGGGAGAACCTCTAGCTAAGATTCTGTGCAGTTCAGAGAACCCCCAAATCCCACTCCTGGCTGGCCCCACCCACCCCGCCCGCCCACCTAAGAGTCCCCACGCGGCCCATTTTGGATGCAGGTAAGTGCAGGGCATGCGCGGAGGCTCGGGGAGGGTGAAAAACGGGCCTACTGGAAGTTCGGGGAGGGTGAAAAACAGGTCTGTTTCCAGCCTCCAGAGCCTGGGGAGGCAGTTTTCGCCCTCCCTGAGGCTCGAACAAAGTCTCCGGAGCCTGGGGAGGGTAAAAATGCCCCCCCCACCGTGGTGCAGGAGGCCAACTAGGCCACGCCCACCATGGCCACACCCACCCAGCAACCGGACAGAGAACCCCTTGCTAAAATTTTTGAAGCCCACCCCTGACGGTAAGCCCTGCCCACCAGTAACCACAAGAGGATATTTAGTCAAAGTATAGACAGAGGACCCCTTTCTAACATCCTTGGCAACCAACCGGTTTCCTAACATGAATGCAGCACGTTCAGGATCTGGTTCCCAAGTGGTTTAGGGCCTTATATGCCAAAAAAAGCTGAACATTCTTATTATTAAGCAGAGCACGGAGCCTGAGCACTGCGTCTCTTCATTCAAATCCCATGGCAGCTTTTTCACAGCTGTTCCTTACGTGTATTCCATGTCCTGACACTTCTGGCTGTTTTGCATCTTCTCCTGTTCTTCCTGCCATATGCGGACTTCCAGGGAACTCTCACTGTAGCTGCCACTGCGGGAGTGGTTGGTGGCCAAAGTATCTCTGGCAATAGAAAAAAAAAAAACCCAAAAGCTTTCAACTGACCCGTTCAAAATACAAGAACCTTCCTTTCATCGATCCAATGATCTGCTTCTCTACTTGAGAAGTTTCTAGGTACAACAGTTTTCTTGTCTCTCGCAACAGAATGTCTTCCATACTTCTTCTCTGTGGTTCTTTTGCCAAAGAGACCATGGGCCACATCTAGCTGCCTCTGGATGCTCAGTGGGTGCTTACTCATTAAAAGTTAGGACTTCCTCTGCCATTGGCATCCTGGGGTGGCAACACAATGCCAGGTGTGTCATGACATCTTAATGGCTTCCACCTACTACCAAGAGTAGAAGGAGGGAAGGAGAAAGGGGAGGGAAGGGGAGAAGGGAAGGAAGGAAGGGAAGAAGGAAGGGGAGGGAAGGGAGGGGGAGGGAAGGGGAGAGGGGAAGGAAGGAAGGGAAGAAGGAAGGAGAAAGGGGAGGGAGGGGAGGGGGAGGGGAAGGGGAAGGAAAGAAGGAGAAAGGGGAGGGAGGGGAGGGGATAGAAGAAGGAAGGAAGGGAGGAAGGAGAAAGGGTAGTGGGGAGGAGAGCAGAGGAGAGAAGAGGGGAAGGAAGGAAGGAGAAAGGGTAGGGGGAAGGGTAGGAGAGAGGAGAGGAGAAGAGAGGAGATGGAAGGAAGGAAGGAAGGAAGGAAGGAAGGAAGGGGATATATGCATTTACAAAACCTCTATAATCACATGAAATAACTAAATCTCTCAATGTCTCACAAGAGGTCTATGGTGAGCTTTAAAAAGACCTCAAAACCTCACAAGCTTCACCCAACATCCATGGAAGACTGAAAAACCTAATTCAACCCTCTCTATAAATGTGGTTAAATAAATAAATGAATGAAATCAACACATCCTACTTTTCTGTGGCAGCCGTGGCTGCAGCGTTCATGGCAAAGTGCCGGATGGTGCTCTCTTCGAGGTACTTCTGCTCCCACTTGGTCATGTCGGCTTCTAAAGCCAGGATCCTCTCGTCCTTCTCCCGCACTAACTCCATTAAGGCTGGGACGTTGTACTCAGGCACAGGGGCTGCTTGGTAATTCCCTTGTTTCTGAAATAAAGGAAGATGCTCTGAAACCATTTTATAGTATAAACTTAACAGGCAAGTAATTTGACGGACCGTCTCTTGCTGGTCACACCCACCGGACCCATTAGAGAGGGCGGGGAGGCAAGGAATGTTGCGGGTTCCGTCCCCTAAGGAGATACATCAGGCGGGACCCAGAAGAAGGGCCTTCTCTGTGGTGGCTCCTTCTCTCTGGAACGTCATCCTTCCAGAAATTAGACTGGCCCCCACTTTGACGCTCTTTTAGAAGGCCCTGAAGACGTGGTTCTGCCAGCGGGCCTGGAGAACCCAGAGGGGGATGTGTTGTCGCCAATAACATGTTTTTTTTTTAAATGTTTACATTCAGCCATAATCAATATGCACCAGGAGGGTCAACACAATCAGAAAATTAAAAGATATGCAAGATGCAACATTCAGATGCTCACAATGACCTTTCCTCCCCCATAGAATGCCCCTCAGAAGATTTCATTACACTTCTGGCACACATATAGTAGATATTTTTTCACTCAGTATACTTCACTGAATTATAATGGCAGTTTTCCAGCCAATTATACCAGGAAAAGAAAGCAGAGTTACATATAACCTGAAAAACAGCCTGCGGGGAAGTATTTCTGGTTTTTGGAACGAAGCCCGCCAAAGTACATAAATAGTAGTTCAACAGCAGTCTCAATATTGGCTTCCTACAGGGAAAGGTTTCCATTATTACACAGTCTTTCCAGATCTCAACATATTAATAGCCTTTGACAGAATATGGCAAACTCTACATCCTCAGCACGGCTGACCTTGAACCTGAACCAACCAAGTGATGAAGACAAAAGATTGTCATTAGACCTGGAGCCTGTTGGGTCTGGAGGAAGAGAAACAGGCTGAAGCTCCATTCTGATGAGACATGGACCATCTACAGTAGTGGCCAAAATGGTGGAAACCTTTTGGGAAAAGTGTATTTTCTAAAACAAGCTAATAACACCACTTTTTTTTTGGAGTAGTACCATAAAATTATATATCAGTGGAAAGATAATTTAATCAAGAATGTAATGCAATCACTTTTAGGAAGGATTTGCTATTAGAATAGCAGTTACAGTATAAAGAAGAAAAGGGAAACACGTAGAAAAAACGAGATATACAAAAATTATCACCATAGAAAAAATGAGATATACAAAAATTATCACCACGTCAGTGAATACTTAGTTGGGTAACCTTTAGCATGAATTACAGCCTTACAACGTCTTCCCATGGAGTGAACCAAGCCTTTTAGTTCTGCAACTGTTATTGTTGTGACCCAGGCCCAAGTAAGTAGTAGGAAAATCAGTCAGTGAAAAAACAAACAAACTGTATTCGAACAGCTGAGAATTACTTCATTCCCTGCGTCGTTCAACTAAATTAAAGCAAATTCCTCCCAACACAAATTCCTCAGTCCTATCGCAAACCTTGTTCCAATTAGGCAAACTGCCAAAGGCCTTTCTTGGCAAACGTTCAGAAGTCACAGATACAAAAATAAATACAAGACGTAGACGAAGGAGAAGGTGAAGACAAAGCTACCAACGTTGTTTTCCGGCAAAGCCCAAACACCGGTGCTGGTCTGTTTTAAGCCTTATGGGAGGGGCCAATCATCTCTTGGCCCTACTCCTGAGTTGTCCTCTTTGCTTGAGCTGCTCTTGCCTTCTGGCAGCTCTTCTCATGCGTGCATTAGGAACAGGCTCCTCCTGTCCCTCTGCCTCACTCCTATCAGTCTCTGGAGGCTCTGGAGTCCGCACCTCACTCCCCGATGGCCCTGGTCCCATCTCTGCCTTTGACGCAGAGCTCTCATCCAGGCCTTCCCCAGCCTCCAGGACTGGCCCATGTTCTTCCTCAGCCTCATCGCTTTCCGATTCCGCTGCCAGCTCCACAGGCTGCTGGCGGACCACAACAGTTATAATGTGAAACCAAGATTGAAGGATTGCTTCTATTAACTGGGTTTTATTGCTGGGTCGCTTCTGACTAACAAGTTTCTTTAGTCGGCTCCATAGATTTTCAATTGGGTTAAGGTCTGGGCTATTTCCAGGCCATTCCATCAGTGGAATAGGATTATCTTGAAACTCCAAAAAAAAAAAAAAAAAGTGGTGTTATTAGCCATCAAACCTCAAAAATAAACTTTTCCCAAAAGGTTTCCCCAATTTTGGCCACTACTATAGTTCCAGGGATCTACCAATGAGTGGATGAAAAGATGCTTCCCAACACAGAACTAGGGTACAAGCTGTTTTTTCCCCTGGAATTTAGAATCAAGTAACAGCTGGGACTAGGAAGATTTTTACACAGATTTGTCTGATGCCCTAACTGTGCCTTGAGTTTGACGCCCCTGCTTTACTAACTTGATAAAACATTGATTATTTGATTATTTGATTGATTGATTGATTGATTGACTGAAAGTGATCTACACGGAACTGCTCTTGAAGATCACTCTGAAGTTATAACTGGTCCAGAATGCAGCAACGCAAGTGGTTATGGGCATGTCTGGCATATAATACTGTTCCTACGTAAGCTTACCTAGTTATTATAAGCTACTGGGTACAAGTCAAGGTGCTGATGTCATCTACAGTATAAGGCCTAGGTAGTTATGAGTCCATCTATGTCCCACATTAGCTGTCTGCCAAGAAAGTTCTAGCAAGGTTGGCATGCTTCAGGTGCCTTAATTAAACAATGTCACCTTCCTGTCAACCCAGGAAGTCAGTGTTGCTGATCTTGTCTCTGGAACAGCCCTGGTCTTGGAGGCCTTCAAGAAAGCACTGAAAATCTGTCTTATTCCACAAGCACCAGACTCAAATGTTTGGAATATACACCGGGTTGAATGTAAGGAAACTGTGCTGGGTTTTTTTTCCCCCCTTCTGAAATGGAATTTTGCTCTAACTGTATACTCTTATGCAGAGAATATAGAGATGTGTAGCAATGGGCAATTGTAAAAGTTGTAATAATGAATATATTTGACCTCTGGCCCTCATCCCTTAACCCAGAGCTATAATTGCACTCAACAATGAACTAAAGGGCCACCATCAGTGAGCTGTTGGACAGCATTACTTGGTCTGTTGTGTGGATGTTTGGGTGGTTTAGGGGTGGGGAATTTGTGGTGGGTGGGTGGGGGTGTTTGGGAATTGTTATGTGTGTTGGACCTGGTCTTTGGATGTTAAGTGAATTTTGTTGTATGGGCATACTGTGTATACACGTACAATGACAATAAAGTTATAATTATTATTATCCAACCAAAAGTAGCTGTGACCAGCAGTGTCATCTGCTCTGAAGGATGTCCCATTGAATTCAATAGCATATCACAGAATCATAGAGCTGGAAGAAGCCTTTTTGGCCAATGCTTCCAATTTTCAATCAATGCAGAAATATGAATTAAAGCACTCCTGGCAGATGACTGGCTAGTCACTGGTTACATCCAGCAAAAGAGAAATCCAATTTTTCTAAACAATTGATTTTATAGCTCTGTAAAGAAGATGGTTGTTATTATTTACTCCATAGTAAGCATACGTAGTCTCCTCTATCACTTAGTGGCAATAAAGTCATATTTAGTCCTGACTCAGTTTCATGAAAATCCATATTATTGATGCAATTTTTTTTTACAATGGATAATTCATCTTGGAAGTCATTCCTCATCTTATGTTGCATACTAAAATGTCCCTTTGTCTACAAACTTTTACCAATTAAGTTTAACAATGTTTACCAATTAACAATGCAGCCTCATGCAATTGAAGCAGGAACCTATTGAGGTTCTGGGAGAGTTCATGGAACACTTCTAGACATGGAGAAAAATCAAGCAACTAATGCATTACTAGGTACATTTCACATGATATAATAACTATTATGAAACAGTTTTCAAAGTTGAAATAGAAACACCTTTCCATGCCTCGCCTTTAAAAAGTTATGAGCAATCATATTTGTATTCAACTTATGCTAGACCAAAGGCATTTAAAATATATCAGATGTGATAATGGTGCCGAAGTCAAACTGTAGTTTGAATGTTCTTTCAGCTTTATCCATTTGGGTTTTGCTGATAGGACAAGTCAGATTAACTGCCCAGAATCCCTGGGAATCAGGCAGCATATAAATTATTATCAAGGCAAACCAGGGGTGAAATCCAGCAGGTTCTGACAGGTTCTGGAAAACTGGTAGCGGAAATTTTGAGTAGTTCGGAGAATCGGCAAATACCACCTCTGGCTGGCCCCTGAGTGGGGTGGGAATGGAGATTTTGTGGTATCCTTCCCCTGAAGTGGGGTAGGAATGGAGATTTTGTGGTATCCTTCCCCTGCCACACCCACCAAGCCACACCCACAGAACCGGTAGTAAAAAAAATTGGATTTCTACCACTGAGGCAAACCAATCCTGGTCATTTTCAGAGAAAGAACAGATTACATTCAAGTGGAACATCAAGCAATGGATTCCAGCCACAAACTCAGAAACAAGGTATGTGCACTGCAGGCTGCCCTCTCTCATCTCTTTGTTTCTAGAAAACCAAGGTGCAATCCAGCAAATGACATTTACATGTTTTATTAGTCAGGATCCCTAACCACAGTTTGACTCCACCAATTTATCTTTGTTAGCTGACAGATATATATAATCTGCTAGCTTCAGAAATACAAACCACCACCAGCCTCCCTTAGCAATAGCACTTAGATTTATATACCACTTCATAGAACTTTACAGCACTTTCTGGGTGCTTTACAATGTCAGCATATTGCCCCCCCCCAACAATCTGGTCCTCATTTTACTGACCTCGGAAGTATGGAAGGCTGAGTCAACCTAAAGCCCATTAGGATCAAACTCTGGGCTGTGGGTAGAGTTAGCCTGCAATGCTGCATTTTAAGCACTGCACCACTAAGGCTTATCTAAGTATGTGGCAGCTGGGAAGAGGACTGGAGAATGCACAAAATTGTAGCTTACGCCACTGATAACAGCAAACCATGGTTGTTTTCAGGCACCTCGTTCCCCAATTCATTAATATCAATGTAAATATATCTTCAGGTAATGGTTATTCAGAATTCTTTACCTTGATGCACAAAAGCAAGTGATCTAATTTACAATTTTCCAAGCTATGGTAATATTTCACTAGCATCTCACACCTTCTCATAAGAATCGATCTTTACATAAAAACATCCCTAGACATTCTAATTTGGCAAACGACAAACTAAGTTCCTAAAAAGTAATTCTCAGAAAGCCAATTAATTCAACCAAAAGCTCTTCGCTCCTGCCAAGGAATTAGCTGGATTCTGTTAAATTATCTCATATTATGCTAAACTCAGAAGACAGTTTTCTGGCCTGCAGATTAACAGAAGCCAACAAAAACAGGCAGAACCCATGATTTTTAACAAATAATTTAGAATTCTAGCTCTAAATCAACAGACTATATATGGACAATTCTAACACTGGTGGTCTAAAGAACAACAACTTAAACAATGAGAATTATTTGCTCCTCAAATGTTGTACTTCTAGAAATGTAATCTAGAAGAGTAAACTGGTACAACTTTAAATGCTTGCCAAAAGGGTTGAATGCAGGGGTGAAATCCAGCAGGTTCTGACAGGATCTGGAGAACCGGTAGCGGAAAATTTGAGTAGTTTGGAGAACTGGCAAATATCACCTTTGGCTGGCCCCAGAGTGGGGTGGGAATGGAGATTTTGCAATATCCTTCCCCCAGGAGTGGGGTGGAAATGGGAGATTTTGCAATATCCTTCCCCCAGGAGTGGGGTGGAAATGGAGATTTTGCAATATCCTTCCCCCAGGAGTGGGGTGGAAATGGAGATTTTGCAATATCCTTCCCCCAGGAGTGGGTGGAAATGGAGATTTTGCAATATCCTTCCCCCAGGAGTGGGGTGGGAATGGGGATTTTGCAGTATCCTTCCCCTGCCACGCCCACCAAGCCACACCACGCCCACCAAGCTACGCGCACAGAACCGGTAGTAAAAAAAAATTTGAATTCCACCACTGGTTGAATGCCTGAATCGACTGCAGCAATTTCAAAGTGCAAGTGAGCCTTATGAGTAGTCCAAACGTCCTCTGGAGCTTCAGTGGTTTCAACTCCGTTTTGTGCATTCAAAGATCTCAATGAGCTTGGTGGAGCTAGCTATACAGCGTTCCTGTTTTGTTTTGTTTTTCATATTTTTTTATTATTAAATTTTTTTTTAACATACATAACATACATGAATCATAATATACACAATACAAACAATCAACGAGTGCTCCCCCACCCCTCGGGATCATTTTGGAAGCTTCCAAAATCTTAAAGCTTCTTCTAGTGGTGGTATCCCCCTTCCTCCAGAAAACACATATATTAGGAACTGTTTCCAGATTCCACATGGCCCCCATCCTTTGGCCTGTGCCTCGCGGCAGTTACCTCCTTGCAAGCAAACAGCAAGAAAAAACAGCTCCTTTCAGCTTCAGCACAACCTAATTAGCACAAGTTGATTGGATCGGCCTCCCGACTCTCAGCTGTTTTGCTCTCAGCTGTTTTGCACAGGCTCTGCTGCTTGCTGCAAAGAGGTAGATTGCTGGAGCAGATTTTTTTTTTTCCTTGTGCTAATCAAGCTATGCTGAAAACAAAAATGAAAGTAAAACAGGCTGTTTGCTGTTTGCTGCAATGAGGCAAAATTGCTCAGAGGCAGAGGGAGATTTCTTTTTCTTCTTTTCCTCACCAAAAAAGGTAGGTGCGTCTTATACTCCGAAAACTTACCTTCTGCGTTGCTGCTGGGACGTAACACAGCTGAGGCGTGGCAATCCACTGTGCCATACGAATCAGCTGAGAAGATATAGGTGAGTAAAGTGCAGGAGCGGGTGGGCGGGCCCAGCTGATCGTTGGAGCTACCGGTTCACCCGAACCGGTCCGAACTGGTAGAATTTGGACCCCTGCTCTCCACCCTGCTAAATCCCAAATCCTTGGGGCCTACTCCCTCCATTACACCACAGTCAGTTAAGTAGACTTTGTAAAAAATTTTACCTTCAGGAAGCCAAAGCAGCCAATCTACTGCACGGCCTTCCTTTAACAGAGGCTGCATGGTGCCGTCCCAGAAGCAAGTACCATTTTGGAAGCAGACGCGATTCTTTCAATCTGAAAATTGTGTCCGCTCCCAAAATGGCACCCACTTCCAGGAGAGCACAAGATGGCCGCCATATAGGAAGGCTGAATGGAGGTGAGCCAGTTCTCCTTCCGGAAGCTCTTCTTTGGAAGAGACTAACGTGCGATAGGGAGAAGGAGGTTGTGGGACCCAGTAGGGCAGAAATCAAGACCTGTGGGGACCCAAACCAGGTGGGGGGAATGCCCAAGAGACCCAGCAGGGCAGGATAAGGGGGAAAAGATAGGCAGGGAGATGCTGCACCATACCTATGGTCGGTTGTAAGGGCGTGTGGATAGCCAAGTACCCAAATTTTGTTCATGTGAGCAGGTGGTGCTGCAGCAGTCATAATTTGGAGTACAATACTATTACAAACACAAAGTCAATTCTGAGCTTTGATCTGACAGCACCTTAAATCACTCCAGGGGACCAAAGTTCCACCTTCAACTTCTCACCTGTTGCAGCCTCAGGGATTCCAACTCTCTTTCCAGCCTGGTGCGTAACCGATGCTCCATCTGCTCTCGCTTCTCATAGGCTGCCTGAAGTTGGGTCAAGGCCTGCTGGAGCTTCTCTACCTTCTCGACATGTGCTTGCTTCTTCCGCAGCTGAAGGCAGAACCACAGAAACTCAGGGATGGGAAGTCACTTTTGTCTGACCCTCCAGTCCAATACAAGAAGTGCACCTCAATATCCACAACAGGAAAACTTTTGCCTCTAAGGAAATGCCTCCTTAACAGTAACAGAGTTGGAAGGGACCTTGGAGGTCATCTAGCCCAACCCCCTGCTCACTCAGGAGATCTACACTAGGGATTCAAACCACCGAACTGCCGACCCTACTGATCGACAAGCTCAGCGTCTTAGCCACGGAACCACCTGAGAACTTATTCCCTTCAAAGCAGAGGACTCTCTGGCCAACCCATTGGTCAGTGCAATCCAGAACAAGGAAATGAGAGCAGCAGAGAAAAAAAAAATACTGGGAAAAATATACAAGACTGAGAACAGCAACTGTATGTTTATACGAGACTGCCTGTGTATACAGGAAAAAGAGTGAAAGAGTTGGCTTTTGATTCAAAATAGCTTGGAGGTTTTAGAAATGGTTCACCCCATGTAAATCACAATATGGTTTGTTTATTGTTCATTCAGCATTTTCAAGTCACTGAGGCTAATATAAACCATGGTTCTGCTGGAATAGAAACAGCAACCCATTCGTGTCTGAATTTTAGTCTCTGTACATTCATGAAAGGGGAGGGGAAGTCTGGTGGTCCTTTCTAACTTGTTTAAAGGTTCCCCCTCGGACATATGTCCTAGTCGTTCCCGGCTCTAAGGGGCGGTGCTCATCTCCGTTTCAAAGCCGAAGAGCCAGCACTGTCCGAAGACATCTCTGTGGTCATGTGGCTGGCATGACTAAACACCAAAGGCGCACGGAACGTTGTTACCTTCTCACCAAAGTGGTCCCTATTTTTCTACTTGCATTTTTTACCTGCTTTCGAACTGCGAGGTTGGCAGAAGCTGGGACAAGTTAACAGGAGCTCATTCCATTACATGGCGCTAGGGATTCGAACCGCTGAACTGCTGACCTTTCAAAGAAGAGCCTTGGTAGCACAGTGGTCTAAAGCACCCTGTTATTAACACAGCTGCCTGCAATTACTGCAAGTTCAAATCTCACCAGGCTCAAGGTTGACTCAGCCTTCCATCCTTTCTAAGGTAGGTGAAATGAGGACCCAGTTTGTGGGGGCAATAAGCTGACTTTGTATAAAAATATACAAAAGTATGAAGGCTATTGCTTAACGCCTTGTAAGCCGCCCTGAGTCTCCGGAGAAGGGCGGCATATAAATAAATTTTAAAAAAAAACCGACAAGCTCAGCATCTTAGCCACTGAGCCACCACGTCCCTGTCTAACTTGGGTACTGTAACTTAAATATCTCAATCTTTGTGAAAACTCCCTCTGATCTCCTGCTCCAGCCGGGAAGCGAATTAAAATGATTGTTGTATGTAATTTCTGAAATAATGGAAACCTAGATAAGGGTATTTCCCTTTCTAATCGTAAAACATCTTTGGATGTAGTTGTTACTGTCAGTTACACAGCTGCTGGGCTAAATTCTGAACATAGTTTACGGATTAGCTGCCCAGTTATCCATTCAGTAAACCATGTGTGATAATATGAAATCCCAGCTTACTTTGAGGATCTAAAATAACTCTAGCCACCAGGAAACTAATGCTAATGGAACAAACTTCAACTTCTTAGGAAGTTGGGAATCAAGCCAATAGCTAAAATACTTTATAAGGAGTTATTATATGACACAGAATGTATTTAAAACAGTGTTAGCACCACCAATCGAAGAGAATATATGTAAGCCCAGGATTGAACTGTGGAGTCCTTGGTGTTCTCTGACCTGATTGGTTGCTTCACTAGGGTGAAAATGTTACCTAGTAAGGTAATAAAATGTCTGCAAGCAAACAACCAGAGCCCACCAAAACCCCCACAGTATTAGTACTAATGCAACAGTTCGCCAAAACATGGGAACTTATGATCCAGAATGAGAGATCATCAAACGTAGGGACTGATGGAGAAGAGAGGATAAATGCAGGATGGAGTTCAAGTTCGCGAAGGTGAAAAGACTGCCCTTATGATAAATCTTCAGAATCACAGCGAAGTCAGATGAAGACCTGAATCTGATCAGAAGAAGAATGCTTGTGTGCTTAGTAGCAAAAAGAGAAATTTTTAAACTGGTCCTGGCAGGAAGCCAGGATACTAGGAACTTTTTGCTTGGGGTGAATCATCTAAAACAGTGATGGATAACCTTTTTGCCGTTGCATGCCAAAAGCGGGGGGGAACATGGGGGAATCACGTGCATGCATGGCCACACCCATAATTCAATGCTCCCCCTGCGCATGCGCACGTGACCCCCCCCTGCGTGACCCACGTTTTTGACACGCAATGACATAGTGGGATCGGAAGGCCCATTTTTCGCCCTCCCCAGGCTCCAGAGGCTTTCTTGGAGCCTGGGGAGGGTGAAAATGGCCTTCATCCACCCACCCTGGAGGGCCTCTGGAGGCCGGAAACAGCCTGTTTCCTGACTTCCTGTGGGCCCGGAAGGCCCGAAAATCAGCTGGCTGGCGTGCACAGCTGAGCTAGGGCAATGCTCGGGTGCCCATCGATATGGCTCCACGTGCCACCTCCCTTATGTTTTGGGTTACTCTAACCACAATAATAAATGCTGAGGACATACGCTTGCAGATTGGAAGATATGACTAAGTCCAATGGGATATTTTTTAAAAAATTGTGCACAGTCCAATTACTATATCTCAAAATGAAAAACTCCGAAAGATGCAGACAAAAGCAACCTGAAGGACAACCAAAACAATGAAGCGATTTGAGAAACGATTTTGAGAAGCATGATTAAAGCACTCTTTAGTCAAAATATTCCAGACAGCACAGAAGTATTGCTATGTCCTAAGACAAACATCTCCTTTAATGCTGATGTTTGGATTGGAAGCCAACGCATCATCCTTAGCACCAACAGGAGAATTTTCCACCCACACCAATCCCAAGAAAAGAAAACAAGCATCTGTTTATGAGAGATAATTTAACCTCTCACCTCTGCTTCTAGTTTGATGACTTTGGCTTGAGCGCTGTTCAGAGCCTGGTCCAGGATCTCAATGTGCCTTCGATGCTCCTCATTGGTCAGGCGCAAGGCCGTCAAGTCCATTTCTAGCTTCTCCTTCTCCTTCAAGTACTCTTTGTCTAGAAGGGCGACAAGATCAAGGACAAATCCTTCAGAAAAATTAATGTCTAGTACCCTTGAAGTATTTACCAACAATTCTCCTAGTTTGTACACTCCATGTGGCAAAGCAACTGTTGGTGTCCATCATTATCTTTATTTCTAATTATGGCCCTGGGCTTCAAATATAAACTTTTGAATAGAATACAGGTAATCCATAATTTACAACACTTCGTTTAGTGACTGTTTGAAGTTACAATGGCACACTGAAAAAAAGTGATTTATGACAGTTTTTCATACAAGCCATTTTATGAAAAATGAAAACTCAACTCCTAGCAATGTCCACAATTCCTCAACTAGACTATCATATAGCAAGTCCTTCCCTTTGCCATGGATGTTCTTAGAACCACATCATTAAACCACCTCAGTAGATGGCTGGGTAAGGAAAAAGGCAGGAAAAGGCCATATGTCTTAAAAGTATCCCCTGAAAAATTGCCACCATGGTGTAGCAGAAAATATTTCCAACTAAGCAAGGACAGGACGCGGTGGCTTGTCAATTGAAAGGTCAGCAGTTCAGCAGATCGAATCCCTAGTGCCGCGTAATGGGATGAGCTCCTGTTACTTCTCCCAGCTTCTGCCAACCTAGCAGTTCGAAAGCACGTAAAAAATGCAAGTAGAAAAATAGGGACCACCTTTGGTGGAAAGTAACAGCGCTCCATGCGCCTTTGGAGTTTAGTCCTGCCGGCCACATGACCACAGAGACGTCTTCGGACAGCGCTGGCTCTTCGGCTTTGAAACAGAGATTAGCACTGCCCCCTAGAGTTGGGAACAACTAGCACATATGTGCGAGGGGAACCTTTACCTTTATCTTTAAGCAAGGAGATCAGGGTTCAAATCATCAGTTGAACCATTAAGTCCAATACAGGTTAGTCTTCCGTTCTGATACTGAGGACTGTACCGGTTGTCTCGACTTACGACCATAACTGAGCCCAAAATTTCCATTGCGAAGCAAAACAGCTGTTAAATGAGTTTTGCCCCGTTTTACGACCTTTCTCACCATAATTGTTAAATGAACCATTACAGTTATTGAGTTAGTAACACAATTGTTAAGTAAATCTGGCTTCCCCATTGACTTTTCTTGTCAGAAGATTGCAAAGGGTGGTCACATGACCCTAGGATATGAAACCGTCATAAATATGAGTCAGTTGCCAATTTTGATCATATGACCATGGGGATGCTACAACAGTCGTTTGAAAAAAACAGTCCCAAGTCACTTTTTTCAGCGTCATTGTGACTTTGAATAGTCACTAAACAAATGGTCGTAAGTTGACAACTACCTAGATAGCATTTTAAGTATAAAGCAATATTTTTTTTTCCAACTTGGCACATTTAACATGTTTGGATTTCATCTTTGGAATTCTGAAACAACTGTCTATTATTTTTACTAGCCACAACATAAAACTATTGGCTGCAGCTTCAGTCGTTCACACGCACCTTAAAAATTAAATAAATTATGAGGGAGAATCTGAAGCAAAACGGTTTATCTTATCATTTGCGTTGTAGTTTCTTGCACTGCTGAAAAGCCAAGCTGTTTTTCAGCTTCAAGTCTAAAATGTATTCTTGGTTGCTTCTTCTATATATATATATATAGAACATTTTATAAAGGCTATAAAAATGCTATTACCAATACTTGGGGATGAAAAAATGAGTCTATAAATCAGCTGCCTGAAGAACAAATAATTTGGGAGTGTGGGTAGTGGGGGAAGCAATTAGAGACAGAACCAGGTATGGACCAAAGCTGAGATCTCATTCAACATGACACCTTCCCTTAAGAATTCACCTGAAAGCCTCAAGGACAGGACATATCGTCTATGATCAGTTGAAGGCTGGGTCACCTTTACCATTTCCAGAGGCCCATACATTCATTTTGCAGCACTGTGTGCTTGCCTAACAAAATTTTGTGGTAAAACAAGCTGAGGAGAATATAGAGCAAAGATGTTGGTGAACATCTGGTTTTAGATCTGATACCTGTAAGAGTCATCTAGGGAACAGCCTTTTACAAACTCACCTAATATTCTAATTTATTATGGGAGTTATATCCTTATATCCTGCCTTTTGATCACTCAATGATTCATTTATTTATTTATATCATACCTTAATTATTATTTTTTTCAAATAACTCTAGGCTGTGAACATAATCCAACACACCTTCCTTCTCCTATTTTCCTCACAACTACAATGCTGTGAGGTGGGTTGGGTCGAGACTGGCTTGGAGTTACTCAAGTAGTTTCCATGCCTAAGGAAGGACTAGAACTCAGGTTCTAGGCCAGCACTTTCACCACGACACCAAACTGGCTCTCCACCTACACATATATAATACAGTGGTGGGTTGCTACTGGTTCATACCAGATCGGGCGAACCAGAGGTGGGTTTCAGCAGGTTCTGACCAGTTCTGGAGAACCGGTAGCGGAAATTTTGAGTAGTTCGGAGAACCGGTAGTAAAAATTCTGACTGGCCCCGCCCCCATCTATTCTCTGCCTCCCAAATCCCAGCTGATCAGGAGGAAATAGGGATTTTGCAGTAACCTTCCCCTGGATTGGGGATGGAATGGAGATTTTACAGTATCCTTCCCCTGCCACGCCCACCAAGCCACGCCCACCAAGCCATGCCATGCCCACCAAGCCACACCCACAGAACCAGTAGTAAAAAATTTTGAAACCCACCACTGGGGTGAACCGGTAGCGGCGGCGGAGTGAGGCTCCACCCACTTGCCCGGATGCTTCTGCGCATGAGCAAACTGGTAGCGATGGGATTTGGAACCTGCCCCTGATACAGTACATACTATATATGCAGAGATCCAGAAGAGGCTGGTTGCTTTCTACATGTCACTAATCCTAACATGAAATTTTAATAACGACATGAAAACATAAAAGAGAGATAATTTCAATATTCTTAATTTTTTTTTTAAAAAAAAAGCAAGTCATTAAGGATGAGCATCCATTTGAGCTGGGATACCAGACAAGATGGATGAGTGTAAGAGCACATTTCCATATCTGCACGCCCAGACTGCACCAAACAGATTCAGTCCACACTGGTGGGAAAACTACTTTAGACAAAGCTTGTAAGTAGATTTGAAATAACATATCTGCCGTTGGTTCCAGCAAGGCCTTGCTAATATCAACATCAGCTGGGGGTGGGGGTGGGGTGTTGGGAGGCTCTGCTGTGCTTTATTTAGCTTTGCCCCATTCATGTGAACTTGGCACTGAATCATCGGATGGGAAAGAATTCACTGAACTTCAGCAGCGGCCAAGCATCCCCAAATAGTTCAGATGCCCCAGCGTGAGCTATGTTTCATTGCATGAGGAACATCTTCTGCCTGTTCGTTCTCCAGGAAACACTTATGTGGTGATTCTGATAAAGAATCTTTAGGGAAGTTAAGGAACAGTAAAATGTTCACTAAATTGCTGATAGGGAGGCACAAATATCTAGATGTTTCCCCCCCCCATACTTTTCCTCTATTCTGCAAAAAAAAAAACAAAGGACAAGGAAAGTACCACATGAGATCACAAAAAGGGGAAAAAAAGATCAACCGTGTCATAAACTTTTCTGAATTTGGTGGCCTGCAAAATGTGTTAGACTTCAGTTCACAGAATCAAGACGTGGATTGGAAGGAAGGTCACAAGACCTCTAATCAAATGTCCCGCTTAGTGCAGAATCTTCTATGGTATTTCAAACAGATGGTAATTCAGCTTCTGATCGAAGATGTCCACGGAAGAGGAACTGAGCACTTTATGAGGCAACATATTCCACTTCTTAACATCTCCAAAGCACCTGAGGGCAGGACAAGAAGCAATGGGTGGAAACTAATCAAGGAGAGGAGCAACTCAGAACTAAGGAGAAATTTCCTGACAGTTAGAACAATTAATCAGTGGAACAACTTGCCTGCAGAAGTTGTAAATGCTCCAACAGTGAGAGTTTTTAAGAAGATGTTGGATAACCATTTGTCTGAAATGGTATAGGGTTTCCTGCCTGAACAGGGGGTTGGACTAGAAGACCTCCAAGGTCCCTTTCAACTCTGTTATTCTGTTTTCTGCTATTGCTATTACTGTTGTATACACCTGATAATCATTTGGGAAGAATTTCTAAAATGGGCCCTCATATTCACCTTACTCCAGGTGCTTCTGCATAGAAACACCTTTCCGCTTAACCCAGGATACCCAGTTCTATTTTTACCTCAAGACTACACTGCAGATGGTATTCACAAGGCTGTGAATATCTGAGTATAAATAAATAAAGTCTATCTGAGGAGGATCTTCATAATCCTCTTTCTATTCTTGGAAATACTCGGTCTGCTATTTGTATCATGGCCCTGTCTGGATTACATAGGGCATTCATGCCAAACATCTGTGGCATTTTGTATGATCTGTCCTTTAAGGAACTACATTTGCTGCTATGTTGTGGATCAACAGCTCAACTCAGTTATAAATTGTGGTAGTTCCAGCAATATTTTTTTAGCAAAGTGTACATAGATGTACGTATATTTCAGTAAACATTGTCAGCTAAGAAAATAATCCAATATGAGTTGGTCACCAGGACCAGAGGTTTTGTTTTATAAGCTCTTGGACTTGTGCTGGAAACTATCTAGCCTAGAGAGAAATTCCCTGAAGATGGGCTCCAGCACGAATCCGAAAGCTTAGAAGACAAAACCCCTTGTCCCGATAACCAACCCAGATTAGATCCTGCAACATTATTTTGGGACATTTATATTCACCTTCATTCATAAGAAAATAATAAATATTGTATTTTGGCCAGGCTGTGGTGCTGCCGAAATGTATAGGGCAGGCTGTCCCAGTCCCAATAAATGGGTAGATTGCAGTTATTGACTGGGATGTACTGGCAATCCTAGATTTGTAGTTTATCTGTAAGAGTTGTAACTTTAGCTCATTCCTCCTCCTCCTTCTTGTGCCATATCCGTCATTGGACGTTGGCGATCATGTTGGCGATCCTATTTTTATCAACAGCTGCACGAAAAAGTGCTGCTCAGTTTTCTCCAAAGTAGTCCCTTAGATTTTGAAGCCATGATGTTCTTCTTCTGCCTGGACCTCATTGGCCTTCAATCTTTCCTTGGAGGATTAAGTGAAGTATGACGTATTTTTCCGGGTGTCGCATCACATGTCCAAAATATTCTAACTTTTTGCTTTTTTATGATTTTGATGATTTCCCTTAGCTTTCCCAGGTGGCTTATCACCTCCCCATTTCTGATTTTGTCAACCCAATTTATACGTAACAGCCGCCTGTAAATTTCTCCTACTCAGACAAAACCTTACAGCTGACAGCTGCTTAGAGGCACTGCACTCTTTAATTGATTGCATCCATCTTTTAGGCTTCAAAGCCGTCATCCTGCAGCTTCATTGATTAATCCCAGTTCATAGAAACTATTCAGGCATTTAGCAATTTTTTCCTAGCCCTTAAACGAAGTTTGCTTCTTTCAAATTAGCCAGGATTAAATGAAAAATACAGCAGACATCTACAATTTATAATCCAACATGCACCCTAGGTAAAGAGTGCATGGAAAGCCATTGTGTCATTTACCCAGTGGTGAAATGTAAAATTTGTTACTACCGGTTCTGTGGGCGTGGCTTGGTGGGGGGGTAACTTTTACTTTTAAAAGCATTTTTTCTACAACCTCTCGAAGAGGTTGTTAAAAAAATGCTTTTAAAAGGCTCAGACGATCCCAGCTGAGCCGCACAATCATCAGAGGCTTTTTTTTTTTACTTTTAAAAGCATTTTTTCGGCCGAAGAAAAAATGCTTTTAAAAGTTAAAAAAAAAGCCTCTGATGATCGCGCGGCTCAGCTGGACATGGGGGGGAGGCAGGATTTTCGCTACCGGTTCTCCGAACCACCCACCTCCATCACTACTGGATCAGGTGATCCGGTCCGAATCGGGAGTATTTCACCACTGCATTTACCCCATGCATTTACCCCATTCTGCCACTGACACTGGATGGACAAAATAACACTTCTCTGTAGAATACCCAGTTTTAAATTCACAGCTATAAAATGTGTGGATGGCTACTGTTCTCAAGTGAACTGTATATGATAAGCCTTAAAGGGTAAAAATGGAGAATCAACATGATGTCTAAACAGAACCTGGATACTCAGGGGCATTAATGCTCTGAAATAGGACAAAATGATTGTCATCTTTTCATTACTTTGCCAGGCTGAAAAAGTAGGGCAGAAATGGCTAAATTCATCCTCTACGATTCTTCCTACAGCATCACACAGCATTTTTGGAACTTTAGAGAAAAGGACAGCAGCCGGTCTGTTTTGCCTCTTAGGAACAATGATGATGATTTGAAAGCTGTTCTTGCCTGTCCCTTATTACTAATGAGTTGGTTTCTAATTTCCTTTGTTTGCAGCTCCACAAATTTGAGCCAAAAGTTCACACTCAAGAGTTTCCCACCCGGTGCAATGTTGTTCTTTACCTATAAATGCATCTTAAAAAACGACTTAACTTTGTCATAATAGGAGGCATACCCGTATTTTTTGGAGTATAAAACGCATCTTAGTTTTTGGGGAGGAAAATAGGAAAAAAAAAATTCTGCCTATCAGGTATTCACCTGGCTAGTCCTTAGCCTGGGCAGCTTCAGCATATTAGTTGGCTCACTGATTTTGAGGTTGGGGCTGAAAAACAGCTTATAAAGCACAGCTGATCGTCCGAGGGAGCTCCAGTGACTAAAGTAGGTGAAGCGCGGAAGGGGTAAGAGAAGGCAGCAGCTGTTCCGGGTAGCCATTTTGGGCACCGCACATCGCGTTTTCAGCCTTCAAATGCATTGCGTTTTCGGGCGGCGATCAGCAGCAATGTGCTTTGGCGATCCCCGCAGCCTTGAAGGACTCTCAAATGGAGCGTTTGGAGGCTGAAAACACGACACACAGAGCCCAAAAACACAAGCCATTGTCGGTGGCAATCTCTGCAGCCAGGAAGAGGACGCCCAGAACCCAAAGGGTGGGGGGGCCGGCGGGTGGGCAGGATTACATTTGGAGTATAAGACGCACCCAAATTTTCAGCCTCTTTTAGGAGGGAAATAAGTGTGTCTTATACTCCGAAAAATAGGGTATTTGGTAATGAGATGCACTTGTGGGCTAGGGAAGAGTTCCCCAACTTTTCCAGCTTTGAGGACCGCTGGAGGGGTGGGGAGAAGGCACGGTTCTTTGCGAGCAGACGGCAAGGGCATATGCGGCTCCATTTGCATGAGTGGCAAGCATTCACACCTTCTGTTCACACAAATGGATCGTGTGTGCAATTGCTTGCCCACTGCTCATGCAAGTGGAGATGCACATGCGTGCTCACCCACTTTCCACAGTCTGGTTGCAAACACCTCATGGTGGTTGGGGACCCCTTAGCTAGGGGATTAATGCAGACAGAGCCAAGACAAGCCTTACTAAAATTAATTAAATGCAGTTAATGCCATTTTTCCTCAGGTATATAATAAGAATTTCTTTCTTTTGCATTAAAAAATTGCAACTTAATGGCAACCCTGGGAGTGGCTTCCAAGTCCAGCAGACTTAAGATTCTTCACTGTGGTTCTAAGTGTCTCCTTTGGGTTGGATAGAGACCAGGAAGAATAAAATGTCAACATGGCGGCCATCCCTGTGTGGGTAATGCTCATTTTTCAGTTTCATTTCCATAATTTACCATAAGGCTGATGCAGAGAGCATCTACATGTTGGGAATGAAGAATGCATGGCACGTCTTAACAAAACATGAGCCACGGTGGCGCAGTGGTTAAAGTGCAGTACTGCAGGCTACTTCTGCTGCCTGCCGGCTGCCTGCAATTTGGCAATTCAAATCTCATCAGGCTCAAGGTTGACTCAGCCTTCCATCCTTTCGAGGTCGGAAAAATGAGGACAAAGATTGTTGGGGACAATATGCCAACTCTGTAAACTGCTTGGAGAGAGCTGTAAAGCACTGTGAAGCGGTATATAAGTCCAAGTGCTACTGCTATTGCTAAAGGCACCACATTTAATAGCTTCACCGCTTTGGGTTCTGCGTGAATTTTGAAGGAACCAAGGAGGTGGGAAGAAGTGAATTTGCAAATCAGAGGGTGGGTTTCTGTTTTTCTCTCGTATCTTTTCACTTCCATTAAAATATTCAAAGTCTTCCCACTTTCCCCCCAGCTGCTTACAACAATCTCTCCAGAAAAACAGGACAGAAAACAAAAACAAGTTTCAGGTGCTACGAAATGAAGTGAAACCACATACGTTTACATTCCTATATAAGTCCAGGGTATATGAACATGTCACTCACTCTGAGAGGCATAAAGATCCTCTGTTGCCTTATTTTCATGTCCCTCAAATTCTCGGCTGGCCAGTTGCCTATTTGCAGTCTCCAGTCGGTCTACACAGGAAGGAGAAAGATTTTAAGAATAAAATATATCATGTGTATTGCACTGAATGCTTGAAGGGTAAGAGGCAGGTTGACAAGTGTGACATAGATTTTAAAAAAGAGTGATTCAGAGGGAGAGGGAAACTAAATAGGAGCAAGAAAGGTGAGATCATACGAGAGAATAAGGAAGAATGATATAAGTCAAGGGTAGAGGGTCTCTTCAGCCTAGCTCAATTTTCTCCAATCCAGGACACATCAAGGAGTATTTGGGGGGAAAATACTACCCACCACCTAACTTTGGTGTCTGCAAACCAAAAGATTCTTTCTGCTTATAAATAGCACTGGGCTCCAAGAAAAAAAATCTTTATGGTAAAGAATTTTCTATTTCTGTCATGTCCCCTCCAGTGACTCGTCACCTTGTGACAAAGACAGATTTTTGGGGAGCACCCAAAAGGCGAACCAAGGAATCTATACAGATCCCCTCTTTTTTTAAATAGTTGTGGAGAAAAAAAAATAAAAGTTGCCACGGGGGAGTGAAGCTGCAGCCGATAGTTTATGCCATTGCTAGTCAAATAAGAGAGAGAGAGAGAGATTCCAAATCCAGTCAGACAATGCCTTCTTTTAGGGCCAGCCCAAAATGCAAACTTTTGCTGTCTCACTCCAGACTGCAGGACCAGGTACAGGAAGTCAGATTCAGATGCCAGGGGAAACTTCCTCAGCGCAAGAGCAGGTTGTCTATGGAACCATTTATCCAAAGAGATGGTGGGCTCCAGGGGTGGGCTTCAAACATTTTAGCAAGGGGTTCTCTGCCCGCTTACTGACTAGGCGTGGCCATGGTGGGTGGCCTAGTCAGCCTCCTGCACCATAGCGGGAGGGGGGGCGTCTTTGCCCTCCCTGGGCTCCGGAGGCTTTCCTTGAGTCTCCGGGAGGGTGAAAACAGCCTCCCCAGGCACCGGTAGGCTTGTTTTTCACCCTCCCCGAGTCTCTGTGCGTGCCCTGCACTTACCTGCATCCAAAACAGGAGTGGGATTTGGGGGTTCTCCGAACTGCATAGAATCTTAGCTAGAGGTTCTCCCGAACCCCTGCGAACCCTCAGCAGCCCACCCCTGCGTGGGCTCCCTTCACTGGCTATACAGGTAGTCCTTGACTTACGACCACAATTGAACCCCAAATTTCTGTCGCTAAGTGAGACATATGCTAAGTGAAGTTTGCCCCATTTTACCACCTTTCTTGCCTCAGTTGTTAAGTGACTCACTGCAGTTGATAAGTTAGAAACCCGGTTTTTAAGTGAATCTGGCTTCCCCGTTGACTTTGCTTGTCAGAAGGTCGCAAAAGGTGATTTACATGAGTCTGTGACACAAAAACAGTCATAAATATGAACCAGCTGCCAAGCATTTGAATTCTGATCACATGATCATGGGGATGCTGAAAAGGTTGTAACTGTGAAAAACGGTCATCACTCACTTTTTTCGATGCCACTGTAACTTTGAACGGTCACTAAATGAACTGAACTAAATGAACCCTAAATGAACTTAGAACACACTAAATGAATAAAGGATTACCTATATTCAGCTAAAGGCCAGACATATAGTTATTTGTGAATGTTATAATATGAATTCCAGCCCTGAGCAGGGGATCAGCATCAATATAAATGCCACCTCATACACTCTGGTTTTCATACCTGGAGAACTTCAATCTATGTTTTACAATTCTGGCTTCCCCTAAACCAGGGGTCTCCAAATTTGGCAACTTTAAGACTTGTGGACTTCAACTCCCAGAATTCCTCAGCTAGCCATGCTGGCTGGAGAATTCTGGGAGTTCTAACCCCTGCCCTAAACCATAATTAGTATTAGTCATGATTTTTTTCTTTGGAGACAATAAGGCTTGTATATAATTAACTGAAAGCAGAAGCAATCTAGGTTCATGTTTGGGTCACACAATGATAAATGGAACCATTAAGCCGACATCTGCAACCTGGCCCAAGCAATCTTATCCATAATAATTTTCTAAAAGTCATGCCAGGAGTAATTTGTCTGGCCTCTAGCCTGCCAAAATAGAAGAGAATATGATAGCTTAGAACTGGGCAAAGCAACCACAGGCCCATGAACACCCAAATCTCAAAAGTGTGGTCCCCACAACACCCCAGAATCACACTGCCAGCGTCAAAATGCTTAATCTTACAATAAGTAGAAATGACTGAACTATAACAGCATTTTACTGTTTTTACAGGGCAAAGTGGAACCATTTCCATTTTTAAAAACTCCTGAACATCCCCGAGTATTGCAAAGCAGAAATGTCCATGCACACACAATTCATATCACTGGAGGCACACACCTCTGTGGCCAGCAGGAAGCCTTATGGTTTATAAAGAATGTGGCTGCTGCTCAGTACACCCATTCTCTACCCCCAAATTACCTTCTTCTGATTTTGAAATAGAATAGTCAGTTGATAGTTCTTCTACTTCCAAGTTGATGTGGGGTTGATTTGTGAGATAGATTCTAGATTAGAGACAGAGGTGGGTTTCAGCAAGTTCTGACCAGTTCTGGAGAACTGGTAGCGGAAATTTTGAGTAGTTTGAAGAACCAATAGTAAAAATTCTGACTGGCCCCGCCCCCATCTATTCTCTGCCTCCCAAGTCCCATCTGATCGGGAGGAAATGGGGATTTTGCAGTAACCTTCCCCTGGATTGGGGAGGGAATGGAGATTTTACAGTATCCTTCCCCTGCCACGCCCACCAAGCCATGCCCACCAAGCCACACCCACAGGACCAGTAGTAAAAAATTTTGAAACCCACCACTGATTAGAGAGCATGGTCTGCACAGAATAGTTCAAGCATACTTTATATAAACTAATAAACTTTTTTTTTTTTTGCACTTGTGGCATTCTAGTCAAAATGTACCAAAACTGACCAACATCATCCTTGCCATTAGCAGGGCATGCTACGTGTAATCCGATTATAACTACCATGTTTCCCTGAAAATAAGACCGGGTCTTATATTAATTTTTGCTCCAAAAGATGCATTAGGGCTTATTTTCTGGTTAGGTATGATTTTGGGGGACATATAGTACGAAAATCCATCCATCTGGCTGACGATCTTAACTGGGGCTTATTTTCAGGGTACGGCTTATATTACGAGCATCCAGAAAAAAAAATCATGCTAGGGCTTATTTTCTGGTTGGGTCTTATTTTCAGGGAAACAAGGTAAATAGGGTAACCTATCCTACACCTTCTCTGTGTTACTAAACCACCCAAAGAAAACCTGGGTTTACTAAAGTTATGACCATGGCAGAGGTCATAAGATTGTAGGTCTACCTAAGTGACAATCATGGGAGGGACAGATTAGAAACCGGAATGTAAGAGTAGTAAAAAAGGGTGAAAAACACGAATTCAGAAATGAAAGAAAATGATTCAAAAGTAAGTGACCTGTATGAAAGAAGTTCACTTTGGTGGGTGGATCATAGAGTTTGATCATAGAAATCACAAAACAGAGGAGGGGGAGGAAAAGAAGGAGAAGGAAGAGAAGGAGAAGGAGGAGGAGGAGGAGGAGGAGAAGGAGAAGGAGACATACCATGCAAGTCCCTGTTGAAATCATGGAGTCTTCTGATTTCACCTTCAAGTTTGTTTCGCATTGCCTTGTCTAGTGACTCTCTCTTGGTGGTGATTTTCACCAGGTCCTCATAAGCTTCTGAAATCCTCTGAATTTCCATTTCAAACTAGGATAAAGCAGAAATTGGTATCCTAATAAAAAGCTGGGTAGGATGCAGGTCAACCATGGACAAATTTTATACAGTACCTAGAAATCCGGCCAACCCTGTACCACTTCTGTAACTCTGCAAAAAGAACTCTTTTACCATCATGTCCAAATGGGAATCCTTCCACAAACATTAAAAAAAAAATCCAAATAATGCTGAAAAAACAATCACTTTCCCAATCATAGAGAAATATTTGGCCATGCCAGTGGAAAGCCGAAAAAATAGGTCTTTCCATGCAATGGGTTCCGTGCAAATTTCTTTTAGGTTAGACAGGGGTATTAAACTCAAGGCCCGGGGGATGGATCCAGCCTGCGGGGTGCTTAGATCTGACCTGCAGGCCCACCCTGGAAACAGCATAGGACCAGCCCACGGTGCCTCTGCAGCAAAAATGGAGTTCGGGAAGGCCGTGCGTGGCCTCCCCAAGCTCCATTTTTGCTGGCTGAGAGCTGCAGGAGGCTGTCTTGGCTGAAAACGGAGCCCAGGAGGACCGTCAAGGCTGAAAATGGAGCCTCAATGAGTAACATCGAGCTTGCCATGCCCCCCCTGCCCCCCCCCACAAGATCAAATACAACCCTGATGTGGCCCTTAATGAAATAGAGTTTGACACCCCTGGGTTAGAGAAATGTTGGAAGACATAGTCTAGTAATATAAACAGAATAGGAAATTGTTGGGTGGGGGGGGAGAGAATTTTGCCTCCACTCTCACCTTTATTTTTATGTCTTTTACCCAAAATCACACCCTTAATTTTGGCGCCTTTTTATCTGTTCAGAAGCAGGAGGTTGGTGGGCAGAAATGGGACCAAGTCTCCTCCTAGAAGCTTTTGAGTCTACTTCTACTCCTCCTCCTTCCACTCCTCAGGTGCTGAAGATGCTCACATGACATGAGTCACCATTCTTGTCTTCAGCAGCTACTCTAGTTCATAAAAGTTGCTTTCTCCTAAGTTAGATTGCTGGATCATCATCCCAAACACGGGCTACAGATTCTGGATTCACAAAATGGACTAAACCATTAACATGCTACAGTTTTGACTTAGCCGGAGTATCCTAATCATTGCGCTGTTGCTGCACTGGTACGTACGAATTAGTTGGAGCAACGTGGACAGCAGAATGCTGGCTTGTATGGTAGCTTCTGGATTAGAGATCCTTGCTTGCATAGAACATTATGAGCATGCTTGGGCTAAAACTGGGTTTTGGTTGTGTCATAATGGCCAAAATATGTAAAAATTGACCATATAAGAGCCTTCTCTGCTGTGGCTCCTGCTCTTTGGAATGTCTTATCTCCCTGGGGAGAGATCTGATTACAACCTCTTGATCTTCCACAAGGGTCTAAAAACCTAGCTCTGTCAGTTGGCTTGGGGCCCCAATAGGGGAGTGCCACATTGGAGGTGGTTGATGGACTGTTACCCTGTTTCCCCCAAAATAAGACATCCCCTGTTAATAAGCCCAATTGGGCTTTTGAGGGCATGGCAATAAGGCCAAGCGCTTATTTCAGGGTTCAAAAAAATATAAAACAGGGTCTTATTTTTCGGGAAACATGGTAGCAGATCCCACCTCACCCCTTGCAACCCGTTTTACCTCCCTCCCCATCTTTTTCACTTATATTGCTATATATATTTGTATTATTTATTGCTTTGTAAGCCATCCAAAGTCACCTTGTGGCGAGATAGGAAAGAGAAATAGCAATAGCAATAGTGCTTTACAGCCCTCTCTCTAAGCGGCTTACAGAGTCAGCCTATTGCCCCCCAGCAATCTGGGTCTTCATTTTACTGACCTCGGAGGGATGGAAGGCTGAGTCACCCTTGAGCTGGTCAGAATCAAACTGCCGAACTGCTGGCAGCCGGCAATCAGCAGAAGTAGCCTGCAGTACTGCATTCTAACCACTGCGCCACCATTATTTAATTTAATAATTAAATAAACAAATATAAAAGCTTTGATTGACCAAAACTGTGATGGATGGCAGAGATTTGTGATCTTCTCTACCATATTTTACACAACATCATTTATCCCAAAAGGAATAATAACATGATAGCTAATGTGTCAGTGGGTGTACAAGGGTACTGTAGCGTGATGTGTGAAACCAAGTCTTGCAATTTGTGAAATGTAGTTTATGGCTACCATGAGTCTTATCTTATCTCATCTCATCTCATGTCATCTCATCTCATGTCATCTCATCTCATGTCATCTCATCTCACTCATCTCATCTCATCTTATTTTTTTTTTATTATTTTATTTTTTATTTTGACTGGGACAATGATGCAAACAGAACCCTAGTGGTGTTCTTATAGGACAATGTTGGCGAACCTTTTCGGCACCGAGTGCTGAAATGGGAGAGAGAGCACACGTGGGGGGGGAGCACTACAAACTGGAAGAACAGCTCCCTGGCGTGCATGCGTGCACGCACCGGGAAGCTGAGCTTCCGGTTTCTGGCACGCATGCGCGCACGAAGACCAGCTGGCAGACGCGCACATACCGGAAGCTTGCCATAGGTTCGCCATCACGGTTATAGGAGATGAATATCTTCAGAACCCCACTCAGCAGAAGGATCAACCAACTCTAAATTGGTTGATCATTCAACCGATATAACAAGACCAATTTACTAGATTTGGGAGAAGAAATGACCCTCCATTTTCATCATGAGACCACTAAAGTCAGAATCTAAAGTTACTTAATTATAGCTCCTTTTCCAAACCAAGAATGCTTTGCTGTCTCAATCCATTCTGCATGGACCACTTGCTAAAAGTTTCATTAAGTTTTTACGTCGATAGACATATGCTCTGAACTTTTGGGGAGGGGGAACTCTACAGTTTTATATGTGAAAATGTACAAAATTGGACACTTCCCAGGAAGTTAAAATGACAGCAGCCCAGGTGACAAAGCCAAGCCTCCCAAAGCTGGTTCAGGGCAGAAAATTCTGGGAACCCCTTTTGTGGCCTACGACAGAGCCCACGGCTGTATAAATACCCTGTGTCAGCGGAGAATTTGGCAAGCATTAGAAACAGGCTGACAGGACTGAGGCGTTACAAAACGACATCGCAGAAATTCACTCTGAACGCTGGTCTCACTCCAGGCGGCTGCAATAATATTGTTTGCTTATAAAGCACTGGGAATAATTTCAGACCGGTATTCTATGGTAAATAACTATATCGACAAGGAGGAAAGGATAATATCATCTGAGGCCCCTTGGAGAATCCTGGCTGAAGTGAGATTTGAGTTGGAGATTTCCCAGATACTACTACACTGCATGAATTGCCTCCAGTTTACACAGGAGCCTAACTATCCTTTGGATTACTGCTTCTCAACCTTGGTAACTTTAAGACATATTTGGACTTCAGCTCCTAGAATTGGGAGCTGAAACTCAGACATCTTAAAAGTTATAAAAGTTGAGAAACACTGTTTTGAACAATCAGATCACTTAGACAGCCACTGTCTGTAACTGTGATAGTGAACCTATGGCACACGTGCCGCAGGCGGCACGCAGAACCTTCTCTGTGGGCACGCCAGCCGTCGCCCCAGCCCAGCTTCATCGCACATGTGCGTGCACCTCCCGCCGGCCAGCTGGTCTTTCGGTCTCTGCCACGCATGCGCAGGGAGTGGGGCGCATGCGTGGGGAGCACTTGTATTGCATTTTGGAGATGCGCGTACCCCCCCACACCCCATTTTGGGCCTGGAAGGCCTCCTGCACCAACCTGGAAGCCAAAACGGGGCATGGGGGCACCGCGCACGCCCCCGTGCCCCATTTTGGGCCTGGAAGGCCTCCTGCACCAACCTGGAAGCCAAAAATGAGTGAGGGGAGGGGAGGTCCATGGGTGGGGGTGCTCGCATTGCATTTTGGGGGTGCCTGTGCTTTGGGCACTCAACACCAAAAAGGTTCGCCACCATTGATCTATAACCAGGATACATCTTCTGGGGACCCGTTGTAGGCATGTATTGAAGTTTTGAGCATATGCTATGGACACCTCACAAAATGGTGCCGTAAGAGAAGGCATGTTTATCTACAAAATGTCTTCTGCAATGTTATGGCGAGCTATAGCTCACCTGAGTAAGGTAAGGTGGTGAAGCTAAAAGAGATGCCAGATAGAGTTCCAACAAAGACATGCTTTCCCACTTTCCAATATTCGTTTCCAAGAAGATAAATGGAATGGGAGCTGAGTCAAACAATTTACAATATACAAGGCAGAGATGGTGTGTGTGTGTGTCTCAATTCCAAATTATATACATGCCTTCTGAATGTATATGTCACACACAAAAAAACCACTATAGCCTCATAATAGGCCCAGAATCTTTTTGAGTTGGATGGGCTATAGCCACTGTAAGGTACATCTAGGGGTGAAATTCAAAATTTTTCCCTATCGGTTCCGTGAGTGTGGCTTGGTGGGTGTGGCAGGGGACGGATACTGCAAAATTTCCATTCCCATCCCACTCCTGGAGGAAGGATATTGCAAAATCCCCATTCCCACCCCACTCTGAGGCCAGCCAGAGGTGGCATTTGCTGGTTCTCCGAACTACTCAAAATTTCTGCTACCGGTTCTCCAGAACCTATCAGAACCTGTTGAATTTCACCCCTGGGTACATCTGGATCCCCTCTATCCTGCCACCCACCTTTTGAAGTTTGTCTGCTTTCTCGTAGTAGCCCTCCAGCTCCTTCTGCAGGGCTTCATTATCTTCAGACAACATCTCCACCATTTGCTGGGCTCGTTGTACTATCGTGAAGGCATCTGGTGTGAGGGGCTGTTGACTAGGCGGAGTTGCGGGCAGAGACTGGGATGCTGTGGCCATTGAGAGAGGCGGCAGAGACGCAGAGTGCAGGGGGCCGCTAAGCGAGGAGGTCTGGGAGGACATTGGGCTGTGCTCCTGGGGTGTTGGCAGTGATGGAAAAGACGATGCACACTGATGACTACAGAAAGAGGAATATATTTCAATTGGATTACTTACACTTAAAGGAGGTCCGTTGCAAAGAGCTTGTAATTACCTGAATTATTGAAAGAAGAATTGTTTATAATATTCAATGTGATATTCTTTATGTAATGAAGTACATTACATTACATGAGCACACAATAGATACAAACTTAAGGTAAATTGCTCCAAACTCGACTGCAGAAAATACGACTTCAGCAACAGAGTGGTCAATGCCTGGAATGCACTACCTGACTCTGTGGTTTCTTCTCCAAACCCCCAAAACTTTAACCTTAGACTGTCTACTGTTGACCTCACCCCATTCCTAAGAGGTCTGTAAAGGGCGTGCATAAGTGCACCAGCGTGCCTACCGTCCGTATCCTAATATTCCTTTTTACTTACTCTTTTCATGTATTCAAATTATGTTTATACTTTTACCTGTTATCTTATATATGCTTGACTAGATAGATAGAAAGAAAGAAAGAAAGAAAGAAAGAAAGAAAGAAAGAAAGAAAGAAAGAAAGAAAGAAAGAAAGAAGAAGGACTGTGCAAGGATCTGAGCTTTTTACAATAGGAGACCAAAAGAAATATATAAAATTACCTGGTAATGCCATATTCTGGGGGACCCTGATATCGGACAATAGCTCCTTCGCTCCTCGCTGGCTGTGATGCTGAATAGGATGCCTTTGTCATTTCTTGAATCATTCTGGAATGCTGTTCGTTAAAAAACACACCCGGCTCTTGACTTTTGCTTCCTGGAGAGCCCCCCTGCTTGATCTTGAATGGATAATCTGGAGGGGGTCCTCTCAGATCCATGCCTTTATTGGAAGCCGGGGAAGGGGAAGGCCCACTGGATTTGAACCCTTTGCTTCTCCCCGAGCAAGGAAAATGCTGTTTGGCCCCATTCCTTTCCAAGGAAAGCTGCATGATTCTCTCGCTCAAAGAGCGTACGTGGCCTTGTTTCAGTTCCTTCAGAGCCTCATCTTTGTGGGCCTGTCCACTGTTGGCACGGGCCAAAGTTGGTCTACCTTCTGTTTTAGATTTTGGACCGGTGCTGCTGGCCATGTAGAAACTGGGCCCGACGACACTAGGCTGCTGACTTCTAAAAAACTGAGACTGAGCTTTGGCTTCTTCGTAAGAAGGTAATTCTTCATTGTTCTGCTGAGGCTGGGAGCCTCTGGTCTGCTTCTCCATCACCGTATTATCCCCTTGATGTTCCTGGCCTTGTGGTTCCTGCCGTGCTGACTGCTGGACCATTTGTGGGTCTTCCGGCACCAGGTTTTCCGCAGAAGAAGACAGGGTGCTGCTGGCAGTGGAGTTGGAGGGTCCTGCACTCCCCGTAGCTTGGTGCTGGAGAGCCAGCAGGTTCATATTCTCGTTGGGGTTGCCATAACGCAACTCCTGAATCAACCGCTGTAAAACAGTGCCGGGGACAACATCCTCCGAACCTCTCATTTCCACCTCTGAACCCTGGAGAAAGCTTGGGGGGTAGAAGGTGCATAAAGGGTCTTCAGCTGAGGCCCAACAGAAAGAAAGAAAGAGATGGGGGGGGAAAGTAAGAGCTGAAGCCATTTTCACACAACTTTTAAAGACTACAGGGAAAAAAAATACATCACTGTGAATATCATCTTGAGGTAAGATGGGTGGTCTGTAACTTTTATAAATAAATCAATAAATATTATCTAGAAGTTGGTCCAGTGAGAATTGTCTCAAAGGTGCTTTTTTCCCCCAAAATGCAACTACATTTTCTTGGTTTTTTTTCCCCCCTTTGAAAAGCTTTCACTTCTCATCCAAGTGCCCCATTTTGGGCCTAGTAGGCTTCCCTGCATTTACCTGGTAGCCAAAATGGGGCACATGAGGACTCCTGGAAGTGGGGGGCCAGCCAGCAATTTAACTACCGGTTCAACTGAATTGGCCCAAACCGGATGAATTCCACCACTGTACTCCTGCCTTGGGCAAGGGGTTTGACTAGAAGAGCTCTAAGATCCCTTCCAGCCCAATGATTCTATGAAGCAACTGAAACGTTTGATGCAATGCAATAAAACTTCCATCCCCCCCCCCAGCCTGCGTGGCCAATGACAACATGGTGAAAGATTGAAATCCAAGACATGGGTGGCAGAAAACCAAACTAGAGACGAAGAGGAAAAAAACTTACCTTCAATATTATTGACCGCTTCTACCATTAATGGGGAACCATCTTGCCTATTGCCAAACAGATGAGGATCTGTATGAAGGTAGTCAGTGCCTTCCAGTACCTGCACAGGAGTACTGGAAGAATAGCAGATCGAGGGGGGGCCTGGGGAGAAAATTTTTAAAAAGTTATGCATTTTATTTATTACTTATTTTTTTTAAAGATTTCCTCAAGAAACCGAAGTCCTCTCACACAGGAATCCCTTATGTCACCAGATTTGAAATTCTGGGCTTGGACAATCTGGAACTGCGTTGCCTGCAGTCCGATCTAAGCATAGTCTGCTACAACATCTTATCTGTCAATGACTTCTTCAGCTTCAACCTCAATAATACATGGGCAAACAATCGATACAAACTCAAGGTAAACTGCTCCAAACTCGATTGCAGAAAATACAACTTCAGCAACTGAGTGGTCAACACCTGGAATGCTCTACCTGACTCCATTGTTACATCCTCAAACCCTCACAGCTTCAACTTCAAACCGTCTACCGTGGACCTCACCCCATTCCTAAGAGGTCTGTAAAGGGGGCATGCATAAGCGCACCAGCGTGCCTACCGTCCCTGTCCTACTTTTCCCATTTATTTGTATTCATTTCCTTCGTTCATGTCCAGGTTCATATTTATACCTGCTATATTGTACATGTTTGACAAACAAAATAAATAAATAAAATAAATATTTTCTCCTATCTTCACAACAGCATTACAAAGTAGGCTGTACTTTGTGATGTGAATGAGTTTTTAATGTTTTTAATGTTTTTAATTTTTCAATGTCTTTTTATAATGATTTTTTAAATGTATTGTGAGCCACCCTGAGTCTTCGGAGAGGGGCGGCATATAAATTTAATTAATTAAATTTAATTAATTAAATTACCGAACGAGAGAAATCCAGTCCAAAGTTCTCTGGGAAATTTATATCCTAAGTGTAGACTTAAACCTGGATATTTACATCCAGGCCCAGTCTCACACCTTTATCACTCCATGTAGTCCTCAATTTACAACTATTCTTTTAGTGACCGTTACAACAGCACCGAAAAAAAATTGACCTACGACAAATCCTTGCATTTACAACCATTGCTAAGTTAGACAGTTGTTAAGCTGGAGGCTAAAACATACGATGAACAGTTGCAGGAACTGGGCATGGCTAATCTAGTGAAGAGAAGGGCCAGGGGAGACATGATAGCAGTCTTCCAATATTTGAGGGGCTGTTACAGAGAGGAGGGGGGTCAACCTGTTTTCCAATGCACCTGAAGGCCAGACAAGGAACCATGGATGGAAACTGAACAAGGAGAGATTCAACCTAGAAATAAGGAGAACTTTTCCAACAGTGAGAACAATCAACCAATGGAACAGAAGTTGCCTTCAGAAGTTGTGGGAGCTTCACCACTGGAAGCTTTCAAGAAGAGACTGGACTGCCATCTGTCAGAAATGGTGTATGATCTCCTGCTTAGGTGGTGGGTTTGGCCTAGATGACCTACAATGTCCCTTCCAACTCCATTAATCTGTTAAATGAGTTGCAGCCCATTTTTCAATCTTTTCTGGCATTGTTGTTAAGTGAGTTGTTAAATTAATCACATGGGGGTTAAGTGAACCCTTTGACTTTGCTTCCCTAGAGGGAATATTGCAAATGGCGCCGTGATCTCAGGATCCTGCAATCATCATAAATACACCCCGGTTGCCAAGCGCCCAAATTTTAATCATGTGATCATGGGGATACTGTGAGAATCAGAGGTGCAAAGACTGCTCATTAAGTCACTTTTTTCAGGGCTGTTACAATTTTGAATAGTTCCAAGCGAATGGCTGTAAATCAGGGACTAGCTGTATGCAGTCCGTACATAGGTTTTGAAGAAATACAAGTCGGTATTCCTTAAAAGAAGTGTAGTGCAGTGTCCCACAGCTATTTAATGGCACCAGGCCTGTCATTTCATACACATTCCAGGGCTGAAGTTCTCCTGTTATCTATAAATGCTTCCTGTTTTCTAATATCAAAAGAGCTGCAGTTTCTATGACCTGTAGCTGAGGGGGCTGCATTGTTGTTTACTCAGACTCCGAAAACTTTTAGGAGGTTACTTGTGTCAACAATAGAAGTCTGGCTTTTCTTTTGGTATCTTGAGGAAACTAAGCTGAGGTCCAGCTAAATGTGAGCCACTGATTAATGGGAAATATACCCATAAAATATATATATATTTATTCCATTACTGTAATTTCAACCGTCTGCCTCTGAATGAGCCTCGGGAATTCTTGAAGCTTCAAAACAAAACAAACTATGTGATGATGATGATAATAAAAAGAATAGTAATAAAAAAAGAAGTAATAAAAAGAAATGAAATATATCTGCAAAATAGCTTTCTTCCAGATGCATAAAACCATTACATGCATTAAAACGACCATACGTATGTCTGTTAAACACTAACAAATTGTCAAGGCTTGGACTGTAACCCTCTGACCGCCATCTTGCAGATTTCAGCTCTTTTCTGGATGCCCCTGCAATTTATGGCAGCTCTCAGCATGGAACCTAAAATTATTGGAAAGCATCAGACTTCAATGGTGCTTCAGAAACTGTAATTCTCCCCTTTTTCTGCCTCAATGTGCTCTTTGAACGAAATTTACACCAGTTTTAAAAAGCCTTGGGGACAGGAAGGCCACGGCAACCTTAGTTGTAAAAATGATTTAAGATCATGTTTTTGCCCAAGCTCACTATGAAAACAGACCAAGACAAGGAAAAATATTGCAACAGAATGATGACCCCAATACTCCAACTCTCAAAGTGAAATGACATAATTTTTGTATCTTCCTCAAATTGCTACCTCTGGTGAAATGCACTCTTTTGATTTCACTGTCTATTCTAGTAAATGTTTATGTTTGGTCGCTGGAAGATTAAATGAATCCCTAGAGCAAAATTGTACAGACCATTCTCTGGTTTGTGTGAGAGAGATAATAATGGCTTTGAAAGTTCAGCACTGGGCCAAAGCTGACAGTCCTGATTACATGCAAACATTCAGAGGGAAGTTGTCATTAATACAACCCCATCCCCAATTTTAGATAAGGAAGCATTATCTGATCACTTGTCCAGGATCGTATCAACTGTTAATTCTGTGCCAGATTTACTCCTCCAATGAGCTAGCACCAAATTAGCAGATTCCCAGTTGCCTTTGCTGTTTTTATTATCCCTATGGGAATTTTCCTCTATGCATAGCAATACAATAAATCAAAACTCTTCTTTAGCCTTAATTCAGCTCATTGCCACACATCGCTTCACAAAGACACAGAGACAAGCAAAATGCATACACTATACCCCCACTACGAACAAAATTATGGACAAACACACATTTCACGCACACACACAAAAACCTCTGGAAAATGCACACCAGAGTGTAAATTAATTAACAAATCCACATATTTTTCAAACGTATGGATGGATGGTGCTCATTCTACAAGGATGCTTTCTAATATATCTTTTAATTTATCCACTCCGACATGTTCTCTACCATCACCATGTGGTTGCCATGCACCAAATTCACAAAAACCGCACACACACACAAAACACAAATAACAAGTCAACTGGAGCAGCGTGGATGTATATTACTTAAGAAAGTTATCTGTGGGACAGGACATGCCACTTTTCACCCGTTTTTGATTTGATCATATACACACACATTACATCAAATAATGACTAGCACCAGTAAGTCTTCACTGATTCATTCATTCCTGATTCATTCCTTTCACGAGTTCAACTTCAACTTTAATCTGAAATATCTCTCAATGGATCCAGTTCTGGTTCTTTTTGACGACGCTTGTCAAACAACCAAGTTATGCCATTCCACTTTTAGTGCATAGTTGAAGTGCAGCTACTGCTAATTAGCAAATTCTGTCTTACCAGCATATATGGGAGCTCGTACACACACAACCTGAGAATCCTGAATTTCAGGTGTGAGCACCCTTTGAACAGCTGAGGTAAATTCTAGTCCATGAAAAACTGAAATATCCACAAGATAGAAGAAAAAAAACACTGATTTTTTATTTTGCTGCCCTCTGGTAATTATCTGCAATTTTCATAGCCAGGCTTCTAAACAATAGGACACAAACTATTGGAGAGATAAGGGCAATAATGGCAATAATGCAAAGGGAGTAGGCCTGCCCCATATTTATTTATTTCCCGCCTTTATTATTTTTATAAATAACTCAAGGCAGCAAGCATACAGTGTCCAACACACCTTCCTCCTTCTACTTTCCCCACAACAACAATCCTGTGAGGTTTGTTGGGCTGAGAGAGAGTGACTATCCCAAAGTCACCCAGCTGGTTTTCATGGCTAAGTTGGGACTTGAACTCACAGTCTCTTTTTTCCTAGCCTGGTGCTTTAGCCGCTAGACCAGGGGTCCCCAAACCTGGCAGCTTTAAGACTATAAGACCATAGCTGGCTGGAGAATTCTGGGAGTTGAAGTCCACAAGTCTTAAAGCTGCCAAGTTTGAAGACCTCTGCACTAGACTAAACTGGGGATTTTTTTCCTGGCTAAGAAGGGAATTTTGGAAAGACTGTGGCTGTTTTTTCCCTGCTTCAGAACGGTGCCAATTTTCAGCAATAGCTATAATAGGGAGCTTTGGGGATGCCATATAGCGGCTCTATCCCTGTTAGGTCATATTAAAACAAACCAAAAACCAGAAATAATGCATGAGTTTCTTGCTTTATAAAGTTCACCTTCAATCTTATCATTCACTCCACAGCTTTCCTTCATTTTAATTTTGTGTTTTAACCTCGCAACTCTGTGAGATGAAGTTCACACAACTTAGAATTCCTGAGGCTGAGAAACACTGCTTTAAGAAACTTCACTCAAGTGTTTTTCTAGAATAGAATAGAATTTTTTATTGGCCAAGCGTGATTGGACACACAAGGAATTTGTCTTGGTGCATACGCTCTCAGAGTATATGAAAGAAAAGATACATTCGTCAAGAATCATAAGGTACAACGCTTAATGATAGTCATAGGGAAACAGTCAATATAAATCTTAAGGATACTAGCAACAAGGTTACACTCATACAGTCATAAGTGGGAGAAGATGGGTGATAAGAAAGATAAAAAGATTAATAGTAATGCAGACTTGGTAACTAGT